CACCACTCCCTACACACCACCACTCCCTACACACACACCACTCCCTACACACCACCACTCCCTACACCCCACCACTCCCTACACACCACCACTCCCTACACACCACCACTCTCTAAACACCACCACTCCCTACACACCACCACTCCTTACACAACACTGTGTACACACCACCACTCTCTATACACCACCACTCTCTACACACACACCACTCCCTACACACCACCACTCCATACACACCACACTCTCTACACACACACCACTCCCTACACACCACCACTCTCTACACACCACCACTCCATACACACCACCACTCCCTACACACCACCACTCCCTACACACCACCACTCTATACACACCACCATTCCCTACACACCACCACTCTCTATACACCACCACTCCCTACACACCACCACTCCATACACACCACCACTCCCTACACACCACCACTCCATACACACCACCACTCCCTACACACCACCACTCTCTACACACCACCATTCCCTACACACCACCACTCTCTATACACCACCACTCCCTACACACCACCACTCCCTACACACCACCACTCCATACACACCACCATTCTCTACACACCACCACTCTCTATACACCACTACTCTCTATACACCACCACTCCCTACACACCACCACTCTCTACACATCACCACTCTCTACACACCACCACTCCCTACACACCACCACTCCCTACACACCACCACTCCCTACACACCACCACTCTCTACACACCACCACTCCCTACACACCACCACTCTCTACATACCACCACTCCCTACACACCACCACTCTGTACACACCACCGCTCTGTACACACCACCACTCCCTACACACCACCACTCCCTACACACCACCACTCCCTATACACCACCACTCTGTACACACACCACTCCCTACACACCACCACTCTCTATACATCACCACTCTCTACACACCACCACTCCCTACACACCACCACTCCCTATACACCACCACTCCATACACACCACCACTCTCTACACACCACCACTCTCTACACACCACCATTCCCTACACACCACCACTCCCTACACACCACCACTCCATACACACCACCACTCTCTACACACACCACTCCCTACACACCACCACTCCCTATACAACACCACTCCCTACACACCACCACTCTCTACACACCACCACTCGCTACACACCACCACTCTCTACACACCACCACTCCCTACACACCACCACTCTCTACACACCACCACTCCCTACACACCACCACTCCCTACACACCGCCACTCTCTCCGCGTCTCCTCGCTGGAGCCCACAGCCGTCGCTGCTCTTCTGGCACAAATGTCTCCTCCTGCTCCTCCTCGGGCCTCCTAACTTCTCTCTTCTTCTCGCCCAAGAGGAGGGGGGAGGGAGGGAGCCGGATCCGTGTCGTCCGGACAAACCCTCTCGGGGCGCAGGGGTGGGGTGTAAACAGAGGGCCGCATTCACAAGAGACGCGTGCGGTGTGCGTCTCTGCGGGTGGCCAACAACCCCCCCCCCACCCCTTGCAGCTCGCGGTGTCCGGGGTGCGAGGTGGCGCGCTGGGGTCCCCGACGGCCCCAACCCGGCACCGGTCTGACCTCCACCCAGTGCTGGGGGGCAGGGCCGGTGCAAGGGGGGTGCCCATGGACCCTGGACCACCACCACCACCTTCCTTTTGGCCCACACCCGGGTTCACTCTCCTGAGCGACTCCAGCTGACCCCACTTGACCCTACCCGGTCCCCGCTGCCCCAGCTGACTCGACCTCACCCGACCACAGCTGAACCCACCTGACCCCACCTGACCCTACCCCAGCTGACCCGACCCCACCCGACTCCAGCTGTCCCCACCCGACCTCACCCGTCTCCAGCTGACCCCACCTGACCCTACCCAACCCCAGCTGACCCGACCTCACCCGTCTCCAGCTGACCCCACCTGACCCTACCCCAGCTGACCCGACCCCACCCGACTCCAGCTGTCCCCACCCGACCTCACCCGTCTCCAGCTGACCCCACCTGACCCTACCCAACCCCAGCTGACCCGACCTCACCCGTCTCCAGCTGACCCCACCTGACCCTACCCAACCCCAGCTGACCCGACCTCACCCGTCTCCAGCTGACCCCACCTGACCCTACCCAACCCCAGCTGACCCGACCTCACCCGTCTCCAGTTGACCCCACCCGACCCTACCCGACTCCAGCTGACCCCACCTGACCCTACCCTACCCCAGCTGACCCGACCCCACCCGACTCCAGCTGTCCCCACCCGACCTCACCCGTCTCCAGCTGACCCCACCTGACCCTACCCAACCCCAGCTGACCCGACCTCACCCGTCTCCAGCTGACCCCACCTGACCCTACCCAACCCCAGCTGACCCGACCTCACCCGTCTCCAGTTGACCCCACCCGACCCCACCCGACTCCAGCTGACCCCACCTGACCCTACCCAACCCCAGATGACCCGACCCCACCCGACCTCACCCGAATCCAGCTGACCCTACCCAACCCCAGCTGACCCCACCCGACCCTACCCGTCTCCAGCTGACCCGACCCCACCCGACCTCACCCGACTCCAGCTGACCCCACCCGACCGTGCCTGACCCCAGCTGACCCCACCCGACCGTGCCTGACCCCAGCTGACCACGGGCAACGTGAGTGTCGCGGTGCGACCCGAGTCTATTCCCTGCCACCACGAGGACGCGCGCTTGCAATCGAATCGTGCGATGTGAGAATCGATCACTGAAGGCCATCGTTAAAGTTTACACTAATTGTCTATATATATACAGTATACATACAGTATACATACAGTATATGCAAAAAAAAGGATTGCGAGGTGTAACATGCAGCAGGACAGGCGACACAAACGAGACTGACGATAAAAATAGAGGATGGTTATAACAACAATGATCTCCTGGTTATCAGAAAGCCCCCGCCAGAGTCGCGTGTCCTCGAGCAGTCGTGGGAACGTCGCGGACCGCGAGGATGGCGGATGGGAGGGGGGGGTCTGGGGAGTCTCCGCAGTCTCTCCGATGGGAGTCATTACCCCCAAGCCCCCCCCCCCCCCCTGCCGCGATGCGCCGGAGCCATCAAATCACGGGGTGCGGGCGGGGGGAGAGGGCGGGAGGGGGGGTAACCATCATCCTTATTCTGCCGCTCTCTCCAGCACTGTCAATCCTCCCCGCTCTCTCCGCCGTTTCTCTCCTCGATCTCTCTCCTCTCTTTCATTCTCTCCCCCCCCCACCCTCTCTCTCTCTTCCTCTCTCCCCATTCTCTCCTCTTTATTTCCCGTCCTACCAACTTTCTTCTTCCCCGCCTCCACTCTCTCCGCTCCCCCACTCCATCTCTTTATTTCTCTCCCAGCTCTCTCTCCCCTCTACCCCCCACCCTCTCAGCTCTCTCTCCCCTCTACCCCCCACCCTCTCAGCTCTCTCTCCCCTCTGCCCCCCCACCCTCCTCGCTCTCTCTCCCCTCTACCCCCCACCCTCCCAGCTCTCTATCCCCTTTAACCCCCACCCTCCCAGCTCACTCTCCCCTCTACCCCCTCACCCTCCCCGCTCTGTCTCCCCTCTACCCCCACCCTCTCAGCTCTCTCTCTCCTCTACCCCCCCCCCCACCCTCCCAGCTTTCTCTCCCCTCTACCCCCCCCCCACCCTCTCAGCTCTCTCTCCCCTCTACCCCCCACCCTCCCAGCTCACTCTCCCCTCTACCCCCCACCCTCCCCGCTCTCTCTCCCCTCTACCCCCCCCACCCTCCTCGCTCTCTCTCCCCTCTACCCCCCCACCCTCCCAGCTCTCTATCCCCTTTACCCCCCACCCTCCCAGCTCACTCTCCCCTCTACCCCCCCCCCACCCTCCCCGCTCTCTCTCCCCTCTACCCCCACCCTCTGAGCTCTCTCTCTCCTCTACCCCCCCCACCCCTCCCAGCTTTCTCTCCCCTCTACCCCCCCCACCCTCTCAGCTCTCTCTCCCCTCTACCCACCCTCCCCGCTCTCTCTCCCCCTCTACCCCCCACCCTCCCAGCTCACTCTCCCCTCTACCCCCCCCACCCTCCCCGCTCTCTCTCCCCTCTACCCCCACCCTCTGAGCTCTCTCTCCTCTACCCCCCCCCACCCTCCCAGCTTTCTCTCCCCTCTACCCCCCACCCTCTCAGCTCTCTCTCCCCTCTACCCCCCACCCTACCCGATCTCTCTCCCCTCTACCCCCCACCCTACCCGATCTCTCTCCCCTCTAGCCCCCACCCTACCCGATCTCTCTCCCCTCTAGCCCCCACCCTACCCGATCTCTCTCCCCTCTACCCCCCACCCTCCCAGCTCACTCTCCCCTCTACCCCCCACCCTCCCCGCTCTCTCTTCCCTCTACCCCCACCCTCCCCTCTCTCTCTCCCCTCTACCCCCCACCCTCCCCGCTCTCTCCCCTCTACCCCCCACCCTCCCCGCTCTCTCCCCTCTACTCCCCACCCTACCCGATCTCTCTCCCCTCTACCCCCCACCCTACCCGATCTCTCTCCCCTCTACTCCCCACCCTACCCGATCTCTCTCCCCTCTAGCCCCCACCCTACCCGATCTCTCTCCCCTCTAGCCCCCACCCTACCCGATCCCTCTCCCCTCTACCCCCCACCCTCCCAGCTCACTCTCCCCTCTACCCCCCACCCTCCCCGCTCTCTCTTCCCTCTACCTCCACCCTCCCCTCTCTCTCTCCCCTCTACCCCCCACCCTCCCCGCTCTCTCCCCTCTACCCCCCACCCTCCCCGCTCTCTCCCCTCTACCCCCCACCCTACCCGATCTCTCTCCCCTCTACCCCCCACCCTACCCGATCTCTCTCCCCTCTACCCCCCACCCTACCCGATCTCTCTCCCCTCTAGCCCCCACCCTACCCGATCTCTCTCCCCTCTAGCCCCCACTCTCCCCGCTCTTTCCCCCCCCCGCATTCTCGACTCCCCTCCCCCGCGCGCCCCCACCGTGGGCATCAGCGAGGACTCCGGGGCGACGGGGCTGGCGAGTCGCCGGCCTTTAATGGTGGAGCTGATGATGCGCCATAGTACAGAGTCGTCTATAATCATAATCACGCGCCTCTCTTCATCGTAAAAACACAACGCGTGCCCCCCCGCCCCCTCCCACCAAGCACGTGGCTCCCCGAGCACGTGGCTACCCCACCGAGGAGTCCGCGTGGCCCCCACCCCCTTCCCCACCGGGGCTGCCGCGCCGATTTATTTATTTATTTGTGTTATCTCCGTTTCTCCACTCTTCTATATTAGTTAGGTATGTGTTTGCTCATTTCCTCCACCTTCGCTTTAACTTTGAGTTGCAATCGCCGCAGAGAGAACGCGGGTCGGGCCCGGTCACGCGCGGACGTTTAGGGGCCACGCGGACATGGGAAAGAGGGGCGGGGGTGGGTGGGGGGGGGCACAGGAAAAGGAGGAGCAGGGGAGACGAGGAGAAGGTTGAGGAGAGAGGAGGAGAGGGGTTGTAGAGGGGTTGGCGAGCAGGGGGTTGCCGAGGAAAGAGAGAGAGATAAGGGAAGAGGCAGGAGAGGGGAGGGCTTGGGGCGGTACGGGAGAGAGAGACGCAAGAGGAGAACAACACTGGGTATGGAGAGAGTGGAGTGGATGAGTGAGAGGGGAGACGGGGGGGGGGAGAGGGGAGGGGTGTGTGAGCACGCACTCAGAGGCCGCCGAGAGAGAAGCGTGCACGGCGGACCCGACGGGGAGAGAAGATCCCAGACCGTGACCTCCAACAGGGTCGTCAAGTCCATGACCCCCGCCACCTCTCATGCCACCCCCCTCCCCTACCCTACACGAGGCCCCTCCTCCCCCTCCCCCGGTCCCGCCATACCCCGCGAAACCCCGAGCGCCGCACTCGTCTCTGGCCATAGTCCGTGTCGGGGTCCGTGTGGTGGTGGCGGCCGCGACTCTCCAAGCTTCCTCCTCCTTCCTCCCACCCCCTCCTCCATTCCTCGGCTCTCAACTCGTCAACATCTGCGCGGCCACAAGTCCCGAGCCGTGCCGACCCCCGGCGGGTGGAGGAAGAAGTTCCTGGGACCAGGCAACGTCCATGCGGCACCGACCACGTGCGGAGTTCATCACGCGAGACCCCTCTCGGCTCTGCGCGTCTCCGCCCTCCAGGACGCCGAGGCGAGACGGATCTTCCAACACACGGCGGGGGGGGGGGGAGGGGGGGGGTTGGGGCTGGCCCCATCGGGGGTAGGGGAGTGGGGGGAGGGGGAGGAGGTGTCCGTCCCTGCTCGGGAGTCCCAGCAGTTCCTCCCTCGTGCCTTCACTTGGCTTGCGAGCCCTGGGCCTTGGCGCTGCGTGGCGAGCCGCCACCGCTACCCACCACCCCGCGCTGATATCGCGCGCCGCCCCCCCCCCCTCCTTCTCCCTTCCTCCTCCCCCCTGGGAGAGGACGGGAGAGGTGGTGGTGGTGGTGGGCGGGGGGGTTGTTGAAGGTAGAGAGGCGGCCGTGTCCGCCCTCACGCCATGGTCTCCTTGCCCGGCAGGCGGCGGTCGTTGACGGTGTGCAGGTTCACGCTCTCCTCCTTGCGGGCCAGGGGCCGAGGCTTTGGCCGAAAGTGGCGCTGGCAGCGAAGGGAGAGGCGCAGGCCCTCGGCCATGGCGCTGCACAGCGGCTTCTACGGGTGGTGGTGGGGAGGGGGGCGGGTGGAGGGGTGGTGGGGGGTGGTGGAGGGGGGTGGTGGGGGGGGAGGAGGAGCGGTGTGAGTCGGGGACCCCGCGAAGGGAACGCGCGCCCAGCCCTCGTGTCCAAGCAGTGGCCATGATTCTAGGACAGAGTGGACGGGAGGAGGAGGCAGCTTAGGGCACAGCCGCTACTCTAGAGGGGGTGGGGGGCACGGCACCCTCCCCCTCCCCCCCCATAGCAAAGCAGATTCACAGCCTCAAACTGCGCGAGCAGACCACCCTGGGGACCAGGTGTCAACTCTGCAACGTCTGTGGGACCTAGCTGATGTTGCCGGCATCAGCGGCAATGGGCGTGACGACCTTTACAGAGCGACCTCTAAGTGGAGGCCCCCGCACAGAGAAGACACCGGGGTGGCATTGATGTCCATTATTGGGGGGCGCGCCTTTCCTCCCCTGTCTAGTTAACCCCCACCCCCCCCCCCCTGCGGCACAGGCCCTCTGTGCTGTTGTGTACAGCGCCACGGCTTCTGCGGGTGAACGGCGATCGGAGTTTTGCCTCTTTCGTTAGAATCGGAGCTGGCGCATCGTATGGGGGGGGGGGGGGGGGGAGACTTCGCGGGCCGTGTTCAGTAAGTCGCGTTTAGTAAGCCGTGTTTAGTAAACCTTGTTTGGTTGAGCCGTGTTAGGTGAGTTGTGTTTAGTAAGCGCAGTGTTTGGCGAGCTGTTTGGTAAGTTGCGTGTTGACAAACTGTGCTTGGTAAGCCGTGTTAGAGAAGCTGCGTTTAGTAAGCCGAGTTTGGTAAGCCGCGTTGGATAAGCCGCGTTTCCTAAGCCGTGTTTTGGTAAGCCGCGTTCGGTAAGCCTTGTTTTGGTAAGTGCTGTTTGGTAAGCCGCGTTTGGTAAGCCGCGTTTGATCGAACAAAGACTCTGAATAGCGGCGATTCGTCTCGTGGTAACGCAGCCCGGATATTGATTCGCGCGGTGCTCAGCGTAAGTCCAGCACCACGGACAGCGCCTCGGCCAGGGAGGATGTAGCGAGCGGGCGGTGTGAGGAGAGAGTGGGCGGTGTGGGGAGAGTGGGCGGTGTGGGGGAGAGAGTGGGCGGTGTGGGGGGAGAGCGGGCGGTGTGGGGAGAGAGTGGGCGGTGTGGGGAGAGAGTGGGCGGTGTGGGGGGAGAGCGGGCGGTGTGGGGAGAGAGTGGGTGGTGTGGGGAGAGAGTGGGCGGTGTGGGGAGAGAGTGGGCGGTGTGGGGGGAGAGCGGGCGGTGTGGGGAGAGAGTGGGCGGTGTGGGGGGGAGAGAGTGGGCGGTGTGGGGGGAGAGAGTGGGCGGTGTGGGGGGAGAGAGTGGGCGGTGTGGGGAGAGAGCGGGCGGTGTGGGGAGAGAGTGGGCGGTGTGGGGGGAGAGAGTGGGCGGTGTGGGGAGAGAGCGGGCGGTGTGGGGAGAGAGCGGGCGGTATGGAGAGAGAGTGGGAGGTGTGGGGGGAGAGAGTGGGTGGTGTGGGGAGAGAGTGGGCGGTGTGGGGGGAGAGAGTGGGCGGTGTGGGGAGAGAGTGGGCGGTGTGGGGAGAGAGTGGGAGGTGTGGGGGGAGAGAGTGGGAGGTGTGGGGGGAGAGAGTGGGCGGTGTGGGGAGAGAGTGGGCGGTGTGGGGAGAGAGTGGGCGGTGTGGGGAGAGAGTGGGCGGTGTGGGGGGAGAGAGTGGGCGGTGTGGGGAGAGAGTGGGCGGTGTGGGGAGAGAGTGGGCGGTGTGGGGAGAGAGTGGGAGGTGTGGGGGGAGAGAGTGGGAGGTGTGGGGGGAGAGAGTGGGCGGTGTGGGGAGAGAGTGGGCGGTGTGGGGAGAGAGCGGGCTACCACTCTCCCCACACCGAGAATGCGACCTCTTTGTGCCCGAAGTCATCGAGCTCGTAAACTCACCACCGAGTTTCCACTCTAACCCTTTGCCCAAATTACCTCCGCTAAATTCCGAGCCGTGGCCAGTAGCAGGAACCCCCAGCCCCAATTCCTAGCCCGAACACGAACCCCTGGCCCGAGATCCAGGATGGCGCTAAGCACGTGAGCCCCCCAGCCCCCGTCAGGCGCCGCCTGCCCTATCTGAAAGGGCTCCGTTGTAGCTCTGCGATCATCCGCCACGTCTGCGGCGCTAACGCCGTAGCCCACCAAGCGATCGCGCGGAGCTCTCTGCGGTGTCGTGAGCACTAACCACGAACCGCAACTCCCCTCTCCTCCTCCCCCCCATAACCGCCACCCGCTAACCCTACCCCTGCGTCTGGGGCACGGCCAGTCGCCGCCTACGCAGAGACGGCAGCGTGCAGCTGGCAAAGCGACTGGCGCCTTGGGCAGGGAGGTCAACTCGGAGGGAGGGAGGGAGGGACGGTCTCCCTCTGTCCTCCAAGGGCAGCGCTTCCCAAACTCGCGACCTCTCCACGTTTGTACGGCCGAGAGGTCGTGGTGGTGGTAGTGGTGGTAATCTTTGAGTCGGCCATTAAAGTCACGTAGATCGGTTAAACGAAAATAACAAAAAACTACGGACGTTTCGATCGCAAACACAAGCGGTCGACCGCTACGTAGCGATCGAAACGTCGTAGTTTTTTCGTTATTTTCTTTTAACCTATTTACGTGACTTAACGGAAAGACCCAAATAATGTGAATTCCTGCAGTCACGAAAGCCTTAAGTCAAGATGCAGTGGTGGTAGTTAGTGGTGGTGGTGGTGATTGTTGCGGTAATGTAGCGGTTTGCACGCTGCGATACGAAACCGGCGACCCGAGTTCAATTCTGGGCCTCCCCTAGGTCAACTCAGCCTACAATGAGTGCTGAGCGCGATGTTTAAACACCTCTACAAGAAAGACAAAGGCGGCCTGGTGTGGTACTGGCTACCCACCCCCTCGTGTGACGTTCCGGCCTTCATAGGTGCTCGCTAATAGCACTTGCCCCAACACTCTCTTTAGCCTATACGGGGGGTCTTTGTCTTTGTAGTGGTGGTAGTGGTGGTGGTGGTAGTAGTGGTAGTGGTCGTGGCGGTTGTGATGGTAGCGGTGGTGGTAGTGGTGGTGGTAATGGTGGTAGTGATGGTAGTGGTGGTAGTGATGATGGTAGTGGTGGTAGTGGTAGTGATGGTAGAGGTGGTGGTAGTAGTAGTGGTGGTAGTGGTGGTAGTGGTGGTAGTGGTGGTGGTAGTAGTGGTGGTGGTAGTGGTGGTGGTAGCAGTGGTGGTAGTGATGGCAGTGGTGGTAGTGGAGGTGGTGGTAGTGGTAGTAGTGGTGGTGGTAGTAGTGTTAGTGGTAGTCGTGGTGGTAGTGATGGTAGTGGAGATAGTGGTGGTAGTGGTGGTAGTGGTGGTGGAGGTCGTGGTGGTAGTGGCGGTGGTGGTAGTGGTGGTAGTGGTGGTAGTGGTGGTGGTAGTGTGGTGTGGTGGTGGTAGTAGTGGTAGTGGTGGTGGTAGTGGTGGTGGTAGCGGTGGTGGTGGTAGTGGTGGTGGTGGTAGTGGTGGTGGTAGTAGTGGTGGTGGTAGTGGTGGTGGTAGTGGTGGTAGTGGTGGTGGTAGTGGTGGTGGTGGTAGTGGTGGTGGAAGTGGTGGTGGTAGTGGTGGTGGTTAGTGGTGGTGGTAGTGGTGGTGGTGGTGGTAGAAGTGGTGGTGGTGGTAGTGGTAGTGGTGGTGGAAGTGGTGGTGGTAGTGGTGGTGGTTAGTGGTGGTGGTGGTGGTAGTGGTGGTGGTGGTGATAGTGGTGGTAGTGGTGGTAGTGGTGGTGGTGGTAGAAGTGGTGGTGGTGGTGGTAGTGGTGGTGGTAGTGGTGGTAGTGGTGGTGGTGGTGGTAGTAGAAGTGGTGGTAGTGGTGGTAGTCGTCGTGGTGGTAGAAGTGGTGGTGGTAGTGGTGGTGGTAGTGGTGGTGGTAGTGGTGGTAGTGGTGGTGGTAGAAGTAGTGATGGTAGTGGTGGTAGTGATGATGGTAGTGGTGGTAGTGGTAGTGATGGTAGAGGTGGTGGTAGTAGTAGTGGTGGTAGTGGTGGTAGTGGTGGTAGTGGTGGTGGTAGTAGTGGTGGTGGTAGTGGTGGTGGTGGTAGCAGTGGTGGTAGTGATGGCAGTGGTGGTAGTGGAGGTGGTGGTAGTGGTAGTAGTGGTGGTGGTAGTAGTGGTAGTGTTAGTGGTAGTCGTGGTGGTAGTGATGGTAGTGGAGATAGTGGTGGTAGTGGTGGTAGTGGTGGTGGAGGTCGTGGTGGTAGTGGCGGTGGTGGTAGTGGTGGTAGTGGTGGTAGTGGTGGTGGTAGTGTGGTGTGGTGGTGGTAGTAGTGGTGGTGGTAGTGGTGGTGGTAGTGGTGGTGGTAGCGGTGGTGGTGGTAGTGGTGGTGGTGGTAGTGGTGGTGGTAGTAGTGGTGGTGGTAGTGGTGGTGGTAGTGGTGGTAGTGGTGGTGGTAGTGGTGGTGGTGGTAGTGGTGGTGGAAGTGGTGGTGGTAGTGGTGGTGGTTAGTGGTGGTGGTAGTGGTGGTGGTGGTGGTGGTAGAAGTGGTGGTGGTGGTAGTGGTGGTGGTAGTGGTGGTGGAAGTGGTGGTGGTAGTGGTGGTGGTTAGTGGTGGTGGTGGTGGTAGTGGTGGTGATAGTGGTGGTAGTGGTGGTAGTGGTGGTGGTGGTAGAAGTGGTGGTGGTGGTGGTAGTGGTGGTGGTAGTGGTGGTAGTGGTGGTAGTGGTGGTGGTGGTGGTGGTAGTGGTGATGGTAGTGGTGGTGGTAGTGGTGGTGGTAGTAGAAGTGGTGGTAGTGGTGGTAGTGGTCGTGGTGGTAGAAGTGGTGGTGGTGGTAGTGGTGGTGGTAGTGGTGGTGGTAGTGGTGGTAGTGGTGGTGGTAGAAGTGGTGTTGGTAGTGGTGGTAGTGGTGGTGGTAGAAGTGGTGGTGGTGGTAGTGGTGGTGGTGGTAGTGGTGGTAGTGGTGGTGGTAGTGGTGGTGGTAGAAGTGGTGGTAGTGGTGGTAGTGGTCGTGGTGGTAGAAGTGGTGGTGGTGGTAGTGGTGGTAGTGGTGGTAGTGGTAGAAGTAGTGGTGGTAGTGGTGGTGGTATTCCATGCTTCGCGTGTTCAGCCACAGGCCGCTGGGCTCCGCAGGGACGGGATGGATGATTCCCCCGACTCGCCCGCCCCCCCCCACACGCAGCTCCCTCGGGTCGTGATGAGCGGTCCCCTCTCCCCACTTTACAAACCTGGCTAGTACGTGACGATTTAATCAGTCAGGCTGCGTCGCGTGGCCTAGGGTGTGAAAAACTTAACATTTGGCCAGATAATCGCTCGTACGTATGGCCTATAACCCTAAACGCGAATCATATATAATCATGAATATTGAATAATAATAGCAGCAATGTTGGCTGCCCCCACGGCCGCGGCTGTGTGTTAAGTTTCCCCCAATGAGCTAGTGGGGGGGGGGGGGGGGGACACGTGACGGGCGGCCCCCCAATCTCGCTGGGCTCGTGCGCTCTACACACCGGGCGTCAGTCTTTGAGGACACATTTCGAAGGGACCCAACAGACGCGAGTGACGCGGGTCCCAGGAGAGCGGCACTGCAAGGAGGAAAGGAGACGGGGACGGGGAGGAGGGGAGGGGGGGGAAGGGGAGGGGGGGAAGGGGAGGAAGGGGAGGGGAGGAAGGGGGGGAAGGGGAGGGGAGGAAGGGGAGGGGAGGAAGGGGGGGGAAGGGGAGGGGAGGAAGGGGGGGGGAGGGGTTAAAGGCGGAGACGAGAGGAGCGAGAGTGGCGGAGGCACACGGCGCGTTTAGGATCAGCAGCGTCCAGCAACAGACGGACCACGAGGGTATTGGGGGGCACGGGGCACGGGGAGGCACCGCGGGGGACACGAGGAGGCACTGCGGTGGGGGGGGGGGACAAATCGGCGCTCAACACGGGAGACGTCACAACAGGGGTGGGTGGATGAGACCCCGGGACCACCTGCTCAGGGCAGTTCAGGGGGGAGGGGGGGTTAATTGTGACTCCCACCGCCAGCTTCACTCGGGTAGGGAGCCGGTGGGGATGGGGATGGGGGGTGGTCAGCGGCAGGAGGGACGGACGCCAGGGGTCGGGTCAGCAGTAGGCAGGGGAGGCGGTGGGGCGGAGGAGGGAGGGGAGCCGCGGCCTGGGCCCCCTGCCGGCACACCTGCGGGGCTGGGTGCTGGGAGGGGTCGCGGTTACACGGACTGCAGGGAGCTCTGGGCGCGCAGGCGCCTCTCGTCCGGCCGCAGCGGCAGGGGCAGGCCCCCCGCCGGGCCCCCCACCGGGCCCCCCGCCGGCCCGGCGAGACCGGGCAGCCCCGCGTGGCCGCGGCCGCCACCGCCGGCCTGGGCCTCGGGGGGGCCCGACACGAGGCCGCTGAGGGAGACCGGCCCGGGTGGGCCGGGGTCTCGGCGCAGCCTGGACAGGATGCATGACACCTGCGGACGCGCAGCAGCAGCAGGATCCACCCGCCCGTCCGCACGTGACCCGGCAACCCCAGCGGAGAGCGCGCAACGTGGTTGGGGTGGTGAGGGGGGGGGGCATGGAAGCAGTGTGAGTGAGTCACGTGGCCACATTTCATTTTCAAACAGTTGCTGAGCATGTGCCCGAAACGTCAAGCGGTCAACAGCGATCGGCACCGTGAAAGCGGCGAGTAGGTTCGAGTGTATCGCGTAGGTGCCGTAGTTGAGCAAGGTTATTGTTAGGTTATTGTTGATGTCAAACCTTAGTCGCGGGGGGGGAGGGGGAGAGACCACGATGATGAGTAGGTGGGTGAGAGAGTGAGTGAGTGGGTGTGTTGTGACATGCAGTGTGGTGGTGGTAGACTACAGTGTGGTGGTGGTAGACTACAGTGTGGTGGTGGTGGTAGACTACAATGTGGTGGTGGTAGACTACAGTGTGGTGGTGGTGGTGGTAGACTACAGTGTGGTGGTGGTGGTAGACTACAGTGTGGTGGTGGTGGTGGTAGACTACAGTGTGGTGGTGGTGGTAGACTACAGTGTGGTGGTGGTAGACTACAGTGTGGTGGTGGTAGACTACAGTGTGGTGGTGGTGGTAGACTACAGTGTGGTGGTGGTGGTAGACTACAGTGTGGTGGTGGTGGTGGTGGTAGACTACAGTGTGGTGGTGGTGGTAGACTACAGTGTGGTGGTGGTAGACTACAGTGTGGTGGTGGTAGACTACAGTGTGGTGGTGGTGGTAGACTACAGTGTGGTGGTGTAGACTACAGTGTGGTGGTGGTGGTAGACTACAGTGTGGTGGTGGTAGACTACAGTGTGGTGGTGGTAGACTACAGTGGTGGTGGTGGTGGTGGATGAGACAAAATCGTCAGTGCCCAGAGAGACCGAGACCTCAACACGCGTGGAGGATTCGATGAGTGAAGTTAACCGGAAACAGTAATCACGGTAAGTAGACTCGGAAAATTCCATAGCAACGTGGAATTTCCTCCACCGATTCTGAAAGGGGGCTGTGAACAGGATGACGGGCGCCAATGCCTGTATAAGTGTTCGCGTGAGCAGCATCAACGACTCTACGGCTCCTATTCTCTTTCTAAACGAAACGAAGCGACACACGGGGACATGCAGAACCGCGGCGCGAGCGACAAGATAACAGCTCTTGGCTTTGTGGGTCGCGTCTGATGGTGGTGGTGGTGGGGGGTGGGGGGGGGGGTGGGTAGAGCGAGGGGCTGGAGGGAGGGGAGATCGCCTCGCATCGCCGATGCCGAGCGAGCGAACCCCCCAGACGCGGGCGCCGCTATCGCAGAAGTATCGCGGATCTGACTCGGCGAGAACGGAGTCTGACATTTCCACTGAACTCCTCCGCGGGTTTCTGCCGATAAAAGGGGCCGCCCGATTACGGACGCGACGAGAGAGGGAGGAGGAGGAGGCAGGAGGGGGGGGGTGCGTCCGGCGAGCCGAGAGCTGAAAGGGATTCCGCTTCTCGCTCCACGATAACGGCGAACAGACCCGGCACCTGGGCTCGGCCCACCCACTCAGCACCCAGCCCACCTACTCCCCCCACCCCCCCTTCATGCCTACCGAGATCTTCTGCGTTCACACGCGGGCGGCGAGCTACAGAGGTGGTTCAAATTAGATTCGAAGCTAACGTGACTGCAGGAATTACTCTCTTGGTTCTTTCGGTAAAGTCACGTGATTTTTTTAAAAAAAAAATTCCACGTGACTTTACCGAAACAACCAAATCGTAGCTACAGAGGGTTTTCTAGGGCCGTTAAAGACGGTGGGGGTCGCGGAGGTGGTGGTGGTGGTGGTGGGGGGTGGCGTTATTCCAAATTCATCCCAGATTCACGTTCAAAACTTGGGGATTCACTTTCTCGTTACTCTCACGAAAGGCTGGATGGAGTTCGGCGTGTGGTGGTGTTTTTGTAGTAGCCTGGGCTCCGACTCAGAGCATTACCTAGCCCAGCACGGGCTAGGAGTGAGGCTGTGACCCCGACCCCAGCCCGAACTCAGCTGCCCGGCCTCTCTCAGTGCTGAATGAGGAGGGGAACGCCGCTCCCTCGAGTCTCTGAACCCGGGGCTGGCGCTGGAACTTGGCGTTCTTTCGCTTCCAGAATCAAAGTGAACCTCCCCGTACCCTATCGGTTACAGCTCCTCCACGCCTCGTGTCCCAACAGAGGGAGGTCCGCGCCTCCAGGCGGGGGACGGGGGGGGGGGGTGCGGGGGCTACGGAGGGGAGGGGGGATGGTGGGGGGGTGAACATCACCATCATAAACACTGCCCAGGGGGAGGGGGGCAAAACGTGAATGAGGGGGGCCTCCACGTGGCTTTCATCCCGGGATCACCATGAATGTCTGGGCGGCCCTGACGGCCTCCTACCCCCCCCCACCCCCCGAAGTCCACACGCAGCCCCAGTCGCGAATCAAGGGCAGGGGGCAAGGGGGCGTGGAGCCATGGGGGACAATCGCCTCCCCTCTAAGACCCACACAGCAGTTGTGTCGCTCTCCGTGTTTATTCCGTGAAATGCCTTGAATAACGGTGGAGTGTTGGCTCCAGCGCGAAGGCCCTGTTCACGCGGACATGGCTGTACCGCGACCGACCGCGCCTCCTTTCCACGGGATCACTCATCCCACCTCTCCCACCACAGCCCCCCCCCCACCCGCACCAGTGGTCACTGCACCTTGTGCAGCTCGGCGTTCTGCCGCGCCTTGTAGAGGAACTCCCCGACGGCCACGAACACGGAGAGGAGGAGGCCCGCGGCGAGCACGATGAAGATGCCGCCGATGTTCTGCACGCCCAGCGCGCTCGCCTCCTTGCTCTCCTCCTCGGGGCATCCGTTGCCACGCCACCACTTCTCCTTCATCATGTGCAGCTTGCCCTCCTCCTGCAGCTGCAGGATGGCGATCGTGATCTTGTCACGGTACGGAGAGCCTGTGGGACAAGAGGGGGGGGGGGAGGCAATGTTTGTGCGTAATGCGAGTTAGAGGCAGGGACGGATGTCGGGCGACTTCTCTGCACCGCGGGTGGTAAAGGCGCAGCCCCGCAAATTGCCGGCGCACGCCACTGCTGGCGGATGGCGCCTGGTCGTGGTAAGTGTCGACCCAACTCTTGTTGGGTCGACTCCTCCGCGCCGCCCACTGGGCGAGCAGACGCGGTGGATAGAGGTGGGGCGTACCCACACTTTACCCCACCACACGTGACCTGCCAATCATAAACCAACTGCAGTGAACACATTTTACACTTGCTGCTGCTGCTAGTGGGGTGGGGAGGGGCAGGGGCGACCGAGGACGTGTGGGAGGTGAGGGAAGTGGGGGGGCGAGTTATAGACTTGCACCGTCGTCTCAGCTGCTGCGCCGGAAGATCGGATCGAACCGGGTGGCGAGTCAGTCCAGAGCTGCTCCCCACTGACCCCCCTCCATCCCCTTTATGAGCACAACATCTGTGAGCTCCTCCATCCAGGGCGTGACGGCGCTGTGGGCCCTACTCGCCCAGGCGCCCGGGTCCCGACAGACGGAGCCGGGGGGAGGGGGGGAGCCGGGGAGGAGGGGGGGGGCACGGTGGGATGGAGAGCGCCTCATCCCTGATAACTCCCCCCGGTACGACGCTCGCCCCACCCCCCTCTCCTTAATTAAAGCTGAGGACGAGGCAGGCGACAGGTGCAGGCGACAGGTGTCGTAGGTGGGGATGGCGAGGAGGAGGAGGCGGGGGGAGGGGAGCGGAGGGGGGAGGGGCTGGTGTTGAAAGGGAGTGAGAGATTGGTGAGGAGGGTGGGGGGCAGGAGATATGAGGAGCGAGAGAGAGAGGTAGCGGCTGGATTGTGCCGCAGAGTCAGATGGGAGATAAACAACTGTGGCGGGAGGGGGTGAAGGAGATGGTGGTGTTCGTTGTGGGGAGGGGGCGTGATGGAACAGATAGAATTGTGTCACGCTGATGGGGAGGGATAGGAGAGGGATGGGGGGGTGCTGTGGGAGGAGGACTACGGCGCGGGGGGGGGGGCTGCAGAGGAGGGACACGACAGTGATAGGGCCTGTATGGGTAAGGAACAGGATAGGGCAAGGAACAGGATAGGGGGGGGGGGCTGTGGGCGGCGGCGGCTGCGAGACATCACCACCAGAATGAAGTTCATTTTTCGCTCTTAAGCGTCTCACGGCTGAGCTCTCGCGTCGGATCTGAGCGGTTGACATTTCGAGGAGGGCGCCCCTCGCGCCCGCCAATCCGTTACCCGAGGGAGAGGAGCGAGCCCGGCTCAGTGCTCCTCGGCACCGCGGGTGGCAACTTTGTGGGTGAGCAGCCGCGTGCCGGTGTGCGATGCTGGCCCAGGGAGGCGGCGGCACGGAAGTGGATTTCAAGAAGGGGAGGGTGGCACGGGTAGCCCGGTGGATGTCAAGAAGGGGAGGGTGGCAAGGGTAGCCCGGTGGATTCAAGAAGGGGTGGGTGGCAAGGGTAGCCCGGTGGATTCAAGAAGGGGTGGGTGGCAAGGGTAGCCCGGTGGATTATTGAATTCTTGAATCCACCCACTCCCTTGTCTCTCTCTCCCTGCTGGGGGACCCTCTCTCTCTCTTCGCCGCTGTTTTATTAATGAAGGGCAGACACGAGGATTCGCGCGTCGCTGTTATTAAATTATTAGTGTCGGTGGGACGGTGCGGAGTGGGGAGTGGTGGGGTGGTGAGGGGGGGGGCGAGGGGGGGTTTAGTTCTCGTCAATATTGGATGAGAGAGTGCGGTTGTGGGTAAGCGGTAGGGACCTCCCGCCCGCCGGGACTCTTGCTGCGTGAGACACCCACCTGCGGAGGTTGTGAGTGTGGGAGGTTGCGGGGAGGAGGAGCGGTGGCGCAGGGGGTTAGGGAGCTCCACGAGAAACCCAGCGACTTGAGTTCGATTTCCGTTCATGACCCACATCGGTAACGAATATCTGGTCCATCCCTAGGTCGAGTCAGCCTCAAATAAGTACATGGCGCGGTGTGTAAACATTGCCAATGAGGGGTCGTGGTGGTGGCCAATCACGTGCCGTGTGGACCTTCTTCATAGGTGCTCGCTAACAGCACTTGCCCTGACAGCCTGCGCAGGCTACACGGGGAATCTTTATCTTCGTAGTGTTAAGGCTGGGGCCTGTTTGAGGGTTAGGATTCGAGGTTAGGGGTCAGGGTGAGGCTCAGTGGCGCTGTTAGTGCCACGTCCGCTGCCTCGTGCAGCGCATCTCGGGTCACCCGGGTTCGCGTCCCGGTGCTGAGCGGGGACAGGGGCAATGGCGAGCCAGGAGCGCGCTTGACCCCCACCCCTCCGCCGGCCCTCCTCCCCTCCCACCCCCCCCCCCCCCCCCCCACCTCTCGCCCCCCACATCCCTCTCGCACGCCTATCCGCGCCCCCTCCCCGTGCCGCTGACCCCGTTGGCAGTTCGACAAAAGACAAATGCCACGCCGTGTTCGTCTCATCCCGCGCCGCTGCCGCGCGCCGGTCCCGACCCCCACGTCGCTATTTTCGCGTTCGGGAAAATGTCAGGTGACGCGAGTCTCCAAATACCCCCACCCCCACACAACACCACCCCTATAGCCCCCCCACCCACCCACCCACCCCCCATCATTATCCCCCACTGATCCCGCAACCCCCTTCCCTCGGGCGAACCCCCACCCAGCACTCCACAGTCAGGTGACGGACGCTCCCGTCTCTTACACCACCGCTCTCCTCCCCATAGCACAACCCCTCCCCCCCCGCCCCACCTCATCATCCTTCAACGAATCCCACCAACCTTCCCCTAGCCCCTCGCCCCCCCTAACCCCTCGCCCCCCACTCCCCCCCCCCACACCGCTGATTCTCCGCCCAGACGCCCGCGCCCCCCACCAACGCCTTCCTATCCCCCTCTCTCTTTTGGGGGCGGATATCGCCGTTGAGTATCGCACTATGAAACGGGTCTACTCACCCACACGAAGTCACCACCATCATCAGTCAGGCGAGTCTCCCATAGCCCCCCTCTCCTAGCACCACCCCCCCCCAACATAACCCCTCATTAATCTACCTCCCCCCCATCCTCTCTGTAGTCAGATGCCCCAACCTGAGCGCTCCGAATCGTTCGTCTCGCGAGCGCGGCTCGACTCGTTCGTCGGCCGCGACCGACGGCTTTATCCACGCCTCGGCACGCAGTTGCGCATTGGGGGAGGTGGACGCCGCCACGTCTGGTCAGGGGGGTGGGGGTGGGGTGGGGGGTGGGGGTGGTCGGGCAGGGGGTCGCAACATAGAGACGCGGGAGCTGAGATTCGCTGAGCGAGGTTCGGTGCTCGAAAGCGATAGAGGCTCCTCGACTCCCAAGCGATCTGGCGATGCTGCTGCTGCGTTGGCAGCGGGTGCACAAGCACAGCCAACAACAACAACAACTCAGAGTGTTCCGTGTCAACAACACGGTGGCTTTACAAAGGGGGAGGACAAAAATGAGGCGACGGTTCGGGCAATGGCCCTTCTTCGTGGCACATAGCTAGGGAGGACACGGAGACCGTGAATTATAAGAGTTGGAGACTGCACTTCACACCACGGGGCCCTGCTGAGAGCTACAATGTTACAAATGTGCGCTGCGCTTACATGCGCAGATGAACAGTTAAACTGCGAGTGGCTTATCGAGCCACAAATGTTCACGACTCGTTGCAGAGACGTCCACAGATTAGCCCCCCCCCCTCCCCACCTGAATTCACCCCCCCCCCCCGCACTCCTCGTGGCGACAGAGAGAGCAGCGCGGCACTCGCAGCGCTCCGAGAGCTTGAAACACACCGCGCGTTTCAGACACAACGCCGCCACTGGCACCGCCGCCGCGATCGTGGATTGCAACGCTCGCCGCGGCGAGGACTCAAACCCCAGCGGACATCGTCTCGGGGAAGTGGCGGTGTCTTCTCTGTCTCTCCCCCAGCCACCCCCTGCCAAAAGAGCACTCAGAGGGGAGGCTATCCATCCAAACATACACCCAGAGAAAAATACAACCAGGCAGAAATACAGGCAAGCATAAATATAGCGAGCACAGAGAACAGCCGGTCAGCGGACGGCCCAGCGAGGCGTACAGCCCGACAGAAACGCATAGGCCACCTGGCCAGACGCACAACTTAGCCAGCCATACACCCAGCCAAATATACACCCAGCCAAATATACACTCAGTCAATTACACACGGCCGATAAAACACCCTTCCACGATAACGCTAAAGAGGAAGACTACCCACCCACCCGACCAGACACACGGACACCCAGCCAGACGCACAGACACCCCGCAGCCGAGGCGCCCCGGCGGTAAAGCAATCATTGTAAAAATCGCTGAGTTACAGAGATTTTGCGTCGTTGCGGGGAGGGGGGGGGGGCAATGGGGGTGCGCAGGATGGTGGTGGTAGGGGGTAGCGGCAGATGTTCTCATGCCGGGGGGGGCTGGGCCAGGCTTCTCATTAAAGCGGCGCTATCCCCCCCCCTTCCCGCCGCAGCCCCCCCCCCCCCACCTCTTCCTCCCCCACCGCCTCCCCCAACGGCGTGGAGTCATTAACACGAGGAACGCCCCATAGCGCGGCGTGCAGATGCACGTCCGTGTGCAAGTGTGCGTGTGTGTACATGTGTTTGTGTTTACACGTGTGTACACGTGTGTACACGTGTTTGTGTGTACACGTGTCTATGTGTACACGTGTTTGTGTGTACACGTGTTTGTGTTTACACGTGTTTGTGTGTACACATGTGTACACGTGCCTGTGTGAGAAGCAATTTCATCAAAAAAGTTTGCCTCCCCTATCACCGCCCTTAAGGGAAAGAACGGTGATCCAATTTCCGAACCGCAGGAACAGGTCTGTAGGTTTGCTGAGTATTTCTGTGGGGTCTTGGAGGAGGGGAAACTCTAAAACATTTTGTTTTTGACCAGGTAAGGCCCCACTGAGCCTATGCAGCTGTTTTTCAGAAGCGACCTGGCCGCAAATAATAGCTCAACGAAGTGGCTTATCACCACGTGGACATTTATAGCAGCCAAATACTCTGAACGCGTGTTTCTAAACGTGGAGATAAAAACTAGAGAACCCGAAGAAGTAGAAGAAGAAGCCACACAACCGCTGGGATAACAAGCAAACATCCAATATACAGCAGCAGGCGTTAGGGTCGGGATCGAACCCACGACGTCCTGTGTACCAGGCGAGGTAGTTAACATCTCACAGCCACCGTGGCGCCCCTCAGCCCAGAAAGGACCGTAGGCAAGGTGGGGACAATCCTGCTGAGGATGTGCCTCAAATATTGGAGGAAGTAGTCGCTCCCTGTGAGTAGTTGGCCGATTTGCCATTTGTTGAGGAAGGGCGATCCAGAGTCTGAGGCCAGGAAAAGAGCTGGGAAGAGATGACCTCTCAAGCGAACTGTTGAGGGAGGATAGCGTCTGTGTGCAGACTGCCCTATACGGCATCAATACAGCCGTCTGGTCCACACGACAGGTTAGGCAGAATTGTAAGGATTTATTGGTGGTACCCATTTTTAAAAAGGCAGCACTGATTACCACCACTACCGGGGCATATCGCTCCTCCGTGTGAGGCCAAGGAAAGGTCCTGGCAAGGGTTATTCGATGTCGCCTAGCCAGGCAATGTGCCGAGGAGAGGCTTGCAGAGCCCCAATGTCGTCTCTCTGTGCGGCGGCGACAGCGGAGGTGTAAGGACTTTCAAAAGGACCTACATCTCTGTTTAGATGACCTGGCCAAGGCCCATGATACCACCAATAGACAAGGAGCTCTGGGTTACTCTTGGTGCTTTCGGAGTCCCATTACCTCTGCTCACAACTATAGAGGACCTTCATGGAGGTGGGCAGGCCTGGGTAAAGCTGCGTGGCCGGGAGTCTGAACCATTCCCTATTCACCCTTAGGGTGCCCGAGGGGTGTCCTGCGGCCCACACACGATGTAACATCTTCTTTGGCCACGTAGTCTGCTGAGGCTGTTTGGGGGATCTTTGTATGTGTGTGCTGCTTGAATCAGAAGCTGAATTGGTTGAAATTGTTGTCATGGCGATGCCCTTTTACTCATCACTGCCACGATCAGTGTATCCAGAAACCTCAGCAACAGGACACCCTGCACAAGGACACCCTGCACCAGGACACCCAGCACCAGAACACCCTGCACCAGGACACCCAGCACCAGGACACCCAGCACCAGGACACTCTGCACCGGAACACCCTGCACCAGGACACCCAGCACCAGGACACTCTGCACCGGAACACCCAGCACCAGGACACCCAGCACCAGGACACCCTGCACTAGGACACCCAGCACTAGGACACCCAGCACAAGGACACCCTGCACCAGGACACCCAGCACTAGGACACCCAGCACCAGAACACCCAGCACCAGAACACCCAGCACCGGAACACCCAGCACCAGGACACCTTGCACTAGGACACCCAGCACGAGGACACCCAGCACCAGAACACCCTGCACCAGGACACCCAGCACCAGGACACCCTGCACCGGAACACCCAGCACCAGGACACCCAGCACCAGGACACCCAGCACCAGGACACTCTGCACCGGAACACCCAGCACCAGGACACCCAGCACCAGGACACCCTGCACTAGGACACCCAGCACTAGGACACCCAGCACAAGGACATCCTGCACCAGGACACCCAGCACTAGGACACCCAGCACCAGAACACCCTGCACCGGAACACCCAGCACCAGAACACCCAGCACCAGGACCCCCAGCACTAGGACACCCAGCACTAGGACACCCAGCACTAGGACACCCTGCACCAAGACCCCCAGCACTAGGACACCCTGTACTAGGACACCCAGCACTAGGACACCCTGCACCAGGACACCCAGCACCAATCACGATGACACCCATCACGCAGCACGAGGACACCCTGCACCAGGAGTCCCAGCACTAGGACACCCAAAACCAGCACATTCTTCATGAAGACACCCTGCACCGGCACAACGTGCACCAAGCATGAGGTTACCCAGCACCCTGCGCTGCAACCCATGAGCGAAATGCAACGCACACGTGGAGGGGGTGAATGGTGGAAAGAGGGGAGGGTGGGGCTGTGGGGGAGGGGCGGGGTGCGCCCCCCGCACCCCCCGCACCACGTGTTTACATTTCACACTTTTAAATTGAATTCTAAATTGTCCCGCGCTTCCCTCCTCTTCTCCTTCTTCTGCACGATGCGCAGGGGGGTTCAGATCTGCAGGTGGGGGGAGGGTGGGGAGTGCGGGGGAGGGGGCCACGGGGGAATTGAGGAGTTGTGGCGGGGGGGGGGGTGAATGAGTGCCGCGCGCACGCATTTAATTAGCCGTGGTGACGTCACCGTGAATGAGTAGGGGGAGTCCCCCATCCACCCATCCCTCGCCCCCCCCCCCACCACCCCCGCCCCCCAGTCAGCTGGAGATAATCTCCAATTCATTTTCTCTCGTGAGCTCCATTAACGAGAGTCAAGCTCCTTTGGGGTTGCACACGGCGCGGTGGAAAGCGATAGTCATACCACGTGTCCCTACAGCCATACCACGTGTCCCTACAGCCATGCCCCGTGTCCCTACAGCCATGCCCCGTGTCCCTACAGCCATGCCCCATGTCCCTACAGCCATGACCCGTGTCCCTACAGCCATGCCCCGTGTCCCTACAGCCATGCCCCGTGTCCCTACAGCCATGCCACGTGTCCCTACAGTCATACCACGTGTCCCTACAGCCATGCCCCGTGTCCCTACAGCCATGCCCCGTGTCCCTACAGCCATGCCCCATGTCCCTACAGCCATGCCCCGTGTCCCTACAGCCATGCCCCGTGTCCCTACAGCCTTGCCCCGTGTCCCTACAGCCATGCCCCGTGTCCCTACAGCCATGCCACGTGTTCCTACAGCCATGCCACGTGTCCCTACAGCCATGCCACGTGTCCCTACAGCCATGCCCCGTGTCCCTATAGCCATGAAAGTTGTAAAACCAGCTCGCAATGGGAAAGAGTGAGTTCTGCTCCCGGTTGAGGTGTTGATCTCAACCCATGTTCCCTCTCTTTCCATGGTGGACAACCTACGGATGGACTCGCCTCCGCCATAATAATGTGGTAATTCAACCACTGGCTGTACAGGGCTGTAAACGGAACACGAGCATCGATATATCACCGTGCATTCGAACAGAATATCGCTCCTGAAATTGTCCGTGCAGATCCAGAGCGACCATAACCCCATGCGCCTGTGAACCCGCCCAGCAATGGCATTGCCAATGTGCCCATCGTGCCCCCCGTGCCCCTCCGTGCCCCCTCCCGTGCCCCTCCGTGCCCCTCCGTGCCCCTCCGTGCCCACCCCCCCCTCCCCGTGCCCACCGCGCGTACCGATGGGGGTCCCCACTCCATATCCCTTGCTGTCCACGAGCCCGCCGATCTGCGTGAGGTTGCAGTTGCGCTGCGTCACGAACTCGATGTTAGTGGACTCCATGAGGAAGGCGTAGTCCGTGGTGAGCACGCGGTTGATGCCTTCGTCGTTGCTCTTCACCAGCGACGTCTGCGCGCGGCTGTCCATGAAGATCCACATCTTCTCGTACGTGGTGATCTTGGACTTCTGTGGTGGCACGCGTGGGGCCAGAGGTGGGAGAGGGTATTGGTGGTTGGGGGAGAGGGGGTAGAGGTTAGGAGAAAGGAAAGGAGGGCCACAGGGTGGCGTCCTGGTAACACTCGCGCCTCGCTGCGACAAAGACCTCAGTTCGGTTCCCCACTCGGGTCGTTCCAGGAGGACCCCGCCGAGTCACGGGACTCGTCTCGAGTTTCTACTTCTAGGATATTTACAGCCGATTAATGATGAGTTGCGGGGAGGAAATCGGAGCGCCCGGAGGAAAGAAAAAAAATCCACGCCTTGCGCGAGGGGGCAACCCTCTATCCCCCGTAGAGAAAGGAGAGATGGAGATCAGCCAGAGCTTTGCTGTACCGCCAACTCCTGGCGAGCCAGGGTACGGGCTCCTCCTCGACGCCCACGAGGGAAGGGGAGTTTCACAACAGCATCTCCATGGTGATCCACCAACCCTCGCTGTTCCTGTTGCAGCTGCCGCCGCCGTCGCCTACGCAGTGCTGGATCGCTGATGCGTCATCGTGCAGCCGTAGCCAGCCGGAAGCTAAGCAGGCTGAAGCGTGCTGGGTGACCTCACCTGGAAAGTGGGAGACCTCCGGCATCTCCAGAGTGGTCGTCTGTGGTCGCTCGCCAGTGACGTCCTACGGGCGGGGTTACTAACGGATGGAAACGCGTCCCAGTTGATCCCCCTTCCCCCTCCCTTCCTCCCCCCCTCTCGTCTCCCGCAATCCCCCCCCTCCCGCCACGTGACAGCTGCAATTAAATCTCAGCGCGATTGATGAAGGTCGGGTCACGTGATCGCTCTGCAGGGATCACGAGCTCCGTGCGCGCGGCGGGCGGCTCCACCCCCACCCCCTCGGAGTTCACGCGGAGCGAACGGCATCGATCGTCACGGCGCGCTCTGAATGATCGCTCGCTGACCGCCACCCCCTTCCCTCCACCCCACCTCCTCCTCTCCCTCCCTCCCACTCCACACCCACCTCCTCCTCAACCGCACCCACCTCATGCTCTCCCTCTACCTCCTCATTTCCCTCCTTATCCTCCTACACGTCAACCCCACCGACCTCATCTTCTTCCTCCTCCTCCTCCTACAACTCAACGCCCACCACCACCTCCTCCACGTCAACCCCACCCACCTCCTCCTCTCCCTCCACCTCCTCTTCCTTCTCTCGCTGCTCAACGCGGGAGAGGGAGCGCGTGGCGTCTCATGCAGCAGCATCATCATCGTCATCATCACATGACATCATCAGAAAGACAGTAACACCATCATCACAAAGACAGTAACATCATCATCACAATCAGCAGTACTCTATCATCATCGGCGGAAATAAAATCATCAGCAACAGGAGCATCAGTGGCAGCGACAACACCAGCGGGATGTCCACCTGTAGCCAAATCACCATCATCACCATCATCAGCATCATCAGCAACATTAATACAGACACCAATAAGTCCACCACCATCATCAGCAGTAGTAACACCACCACCTCAACCACCACCATCTCAACCACCACCACTACCACCACCACCTTAACCACCACCACCTCAACCACCACTTCAACCGTCACGTCTACCTCCACTTTCACCTTCACTATCAAAGATCTCCTGTGTAGCCTTAACAGACTGTTGGGCACCTATGAAGTCCGGCACGGCACACAAGGGGGTGGGTGGTCAGCACCACTTCCGGCCGCCTTTGTCTCCCCAGTGCTGATGTTTACACACCGCACAAGGTACTCATTTAAGGCTGAGTCGACTTAGAGGAGGATCAGCATCGGGTCAGAAATTCGTCATCGGTGTTACTGGCCGTGAGCTGGAATTGAACTCGGCCGCCTTTGTCTCCCCAGTGCTGATGTTTACACACCGCACAAGGTACTCATTTAAGGCTGAGTCGACTTAGAGGAGGATCAGCATCGGGTCAGAAATTCGTCATCGGTGTTACTGGCCGTGAGCTGGAATTGAACTCGGGTCGCCGGGTTCGTAGCGCAGCACGCTGTCCGCTACACTACCGCTCCCCTCCACCACCACCTCCACTACCTTCACCTCAACTACCACCTCCTCTATGAGCGCCGCCACCACCAGCACGACTACCTCCCTCCTCCTCCCTCCCCGCCCCCTCCTCCTCCTCCCTCCTTCACCTCCTTCTCAACCCTCCTCCTCCCTCCTCCTCCTCCACCGCCACCACCACCACCACCACCCCCGCTGACCTTGAAGAAGGTCATGGTGGAGCCGTCGCGCACGGCCCCGTACTCGATCTTGGTCTGCTTGGCGAGGTCGTCCGCCGAGTCGATGGGCGACTCCATGCGCTCGACGGTGAGGAAGGCGGCCAGGTTGGCCGTGTAGGACGAGATGATGATGAGGGTGAAGAACCACCAGATGCCGCCCACGATGCGCGTCGACAGGGCCTTGGGCATCAGCTCAGAGCCTTTCGTGCGAGGGCCCAGTTGGTCGAAGGGGGGGGGGGTGGGTGGGGTTGGGGTGGGGGGTTGGGGGTGGGGGGTGTCGGCCGAGGAGGTTCACCAACGTCCCACGTGGTGGAGGATGAGCGGTGGTCGACGCGTGCAGACCGCGTGGCCACGGTTGGGGTCAAGGCGGTCGGAAGAAGAGACGCGTTAGCGGGGCGGGTGTGCCATTGGCGGCGGGTGGGGTAGGTGGGGTGGGGTGGGGTTGGGGGGGGGCTTTGGGGAGAGAGGGGAGCACGCGGGGTCGGGGAGGGGGGTCGGGACAGCTGGTGATGTAACCGATGGGGGGGAGCCCCCCCCCCATCGCCCCCGTTCACCTGTGTGGGGTATTATTATTATTATTGCTGCTGCTGCTGTTATTCCGGAGGGACATAATGACAGCCGCGCCAGGCACAGACTGTTCCTGCATTGACTCGAAAATCGTGCGGACATGAGACCTGTTCCGCCTCTCTGCCCCCCCCCCCCCCTCCAGCCCCCCACCGGGATCCACCCGCCCCCCCCCCCTTCGTTCGCCCCCCTCCTTCCCATTCCCCTCGGTCGCCCAATCCCCCCCCCCCCCGCCCGCCTGGTTGAGACGACCCCGGGGCAGCAAGGGCGATTGGATTTGCAAAGAGCGGCGACTTAATAACAATCGTCATCATCATCTTATTGTTATTCTTCCTCATTCGCCACCTATCGTCAACACAATAATCGTCGTTATCGAACGCATCGCGCCACAGTTATCGTCATCATCATCATCGTCGTCGTCAAATCATCAGCACCACGAGCATCAACTATCAACACCACGTCACACAACCGCGGTAGCGCTCTTTTGGTGACCGGGCTTTTGTTCGCGTGGCACCAAAGTTCCGGAACGCCTCGCCACTTGGAATCAGGGCAATCGTAGCCGGTAGATAGATTCAAGTCTGCTTTGAAAACCCATCTCTCCAAACTGGTCTGTCCCCATTGAGTTTGGTTCGGTTGCCCCTGGTTCTGTTTTTTTTTGTTTCCTGCTGTTCGTGCATCGCGCATTGGAATCCTAGGATGGAATGCGCCATGTACATTTAAATTATTATTAACCACCACCGCCATCAACATCATCATCATCATCGATGTCCGATTCTCATCTTCACCCGCATCGCGACTACCACCACTCCGAGTTGCCGCGGGGGGGGGGGGGGGGCTGTGTACAACACGGGGTAGGGTGGGGGGCTGTGTACAACACGGGGGGTAGGGTGGGGGGCTGTGTACAACACGGGGGGGTAGGGTGGGGGCTGTGTACAACACGGGGGGGGAGGGTGGGGGGCTGTGTACAACACGGGGGGACAGGGTGGGGGGCTGTGTACAACACGGGAGGGTGGGGGCTGTGTACAACACGGGAGGGTGGGGGCTGTGTACAACACGGGGGGGTAGGGGGCTGTGTACAACACGGAGGGGGGGTAGGGGGCTGTGTACAACACGGGGGGAGGGGGGGGGCTGTGTACAACACGGGGGGGGGGGGGTAGGGGGGTGTGTACAACATGGGGGGGGGAGGGGGGGGCTGTGTACAACACGGGGGGGGGGTAGGGGGCTGTGTACAACACGGGGGGTAGGGTGGGGGGCTGTGTACAACACGGGGGGGAGGGGGGGGCTGTGTACAACACGGGGGGGGGGAGGGGGGGTTAAATCGCCTCCACTTATCTCTCCGCGCTCTCCCTCCCCGTCTCTCTTTGCGAATCCAATCTCGATCGCAATTGAATCCAAATCACAGGCCGAAACAGCGAACTCCAATTTGAACGCGCAAAATAAAAACAAATAAACACATAAACAACGTAAATATATATGCACAGACAAAGACCGCCCGTGTAGCCTCAACATACTTTTTGGGGCAAGTGCATTTAGCGAGCAGCTATGAAGGCCGGCACGGCACACTAAGGAGCGGGTAGCCAGCACCACGTGGTACTCATTTGAGGCTGAGTCGACCTAGCGGAGGCCCAGGACGGATTTAGAAAATCGTCACTGGTGTTGGTGGCCGTGAGCGGGAATCGAACTCGGGTTGCCGGGTTCGTGGTAGAACGCGCTAATCGCTACACCACCGCTCCCCACAGAGACAGGTAGAAACACAGGGACACGTACACACAGACGCAACCAGGCTAAAACATAGACACGCATAAACAAAGACACAGCGACGCGGACAGACACACAGAGACAAATACAGACACCACACAGAGACAATTACCGACACAGAGACACGTACAGACACATAGAGATATACAGACAAAGATCTCCCGTATAGCCTTAACGGACTGTTGGGGTAAGTGCTGTTAGCGAACACCTATGAAGGCCAGAACGGCACACGAGGGGGTGGGTGGCCAGCACCACGCCCGGCCGCCTTTGTCTCCCTAGTGGCGATGTTTACACACAGTACTAGGTACTCATTTGAGGCTGAGTCGACCTAGGGGAGTCCCAGGACCGGTTCAGATAATCGTCACTGGTGTTGCCCGTGAGCAGGAATCGAACTCGGGTCGCCGGGTTCATAGCGCAGCGCGCTAACCGCTACGCCACCACCCCCCAGACACACACAGAGACACACACAGAGACACAGACATACACAGAGACACAGATACACGCGCGCTTGCGCTGAGCCAAGGGGCACGGTCTCCTCCTCCTCCCTGCAGTCAGCAGAGTCACACACTCGGTGAACAGGGGTGGGGTGGGGGGTCTGTAGACAGAGTGGGGGTCCCACAGGAGACCAAGTGGCGAGGTTCGATTCTAGACCCCCGGGAGTGCGGGGCGCGCCTGACACGGAGACTCGCTAACTGTGTTTTTCGCACCGATCGCTAACCGGTGACGTTCTCTGATTTCGAGTTTACTTCAACCATTGCACTTTATTATCGTCGCTTTTGTCGTTTTGGTGACCCGGGTCACTCATGCGAACGAGGACTTCTCCTGACCCCCCCCCCCCCACCTGGGTTTCTCACCCGGTTCGACAAACATCCAACTCGGAACTCCACATAGGCCCAGATTTCCCCCGGTTCATAATGGCCTCCTCCAAGGAATGCGTGTGCACGTGCGCGCGCGTGTGTGATCATGTAGTGGGGAGCGGTGGCGTAGCGGTTAGCGCACTGCGCTACAAACCTGTTGACCTGAGTTCGATTCCCGCTCACGGCCAACACCGGTGACGATTATCTGAACCGGTCCTGGGCCTCCTCTTGGTCGACTCAGCCCAAAATGAGTACCTGGTGCGGTGTTTAAATATCGCCGCTGCGGAGACAAAGGCGGCCGGGCGTGGTGTTGGCCACCCACCCCCTTGTGTGCCGTGCCGGCTTTCATTGGTGCGCGCTGTGAGTTCTTGCCCCAACAGTCTGTTAAGGCCATACGGGGGATCTTTCTATTATGTCTGTGTGCGTGTGGGGGGTGTTAGCCACTGCTCATGTCCGTGTGCGTGTGTGTATGTTTTTTCTGTCCCTGTGTGTGTATGTGTGTCTGCGTGCGTCTCGCTCCGGCCTTCATAGGTGCTCGCTAACGGCACTTGTCCCAAACAGTCTGTTAAAGGCTACACGGGGGATCTTTGTCTTTGCGATGTGACTCCGCAACTCCGTGTGAGACGCGCGCTCCACGCGTCCCCAGACCTCCCGCAAAACATCAACCCCGAGCCCCAAACAGGATCCAGACAACTCGACCCCCTCCACCTCCCCCCTCTTCTCTGGGGGTGGGTCCCCTCCTTCCAGAAGAGACCCCCTCTTCCTACACCCCTGCGTGCGGACCCGCCCGCCACCCCCGCCAGAGGGAGGAGGGGGGGGATGGAGGGAGCGGAGTGAATAAGGGGAGTTAGGGGAAGCTGGGAGCGAGGTCCTTTTTAGGGGGGGGGAGGTGGGGAAGATGGTTGGGGAATTTGCGGGGGGGGGTATCCCCCCTCTCCCTTGTGAAAGCGGTGCGGGGGAGGAGGGGTGGGCCCGCGCGGTTGCTAGGCTACGGCTGGAGGCCGCCATGTATCCAAGGTAACGCCGTGGACCGGGTCCGCGGGCCCGGCGCGAGCCCCACGCGCGCGCACACGCGGCACCTGCCCCGGGGGCGCGCGCACCTGTGTTGTGTGCACGCGCGCGCGCGCAGCAAACCGAACACTTCCATTGGGCACCGCGAGCAAGTGGACTGACTCGTCGCCGTGGTAACCAAACACTACCGCCGTTGCCCTAGCGACGCGGAGAAGGCGAGGGACCCGGTGGATATGGAGAGGATACAGAGGGGGTGGGAGAGACGGAGGTGATGGGAGACGCGGGGATGGGAGACTCGGGGATGGGAGATGCAGAAGTGGGAGACGCGGGGATGAAGATGGGAGGGGAGACACGGGAAGGGGAGACGCTGGGACGGGACACACGACGAGAGGAGACGCAGGGATGGGAGTCACCAGGATGGGAGACAGAGAGGGAAGGCACGGGGGACTGGCGACACGGGAGGGGAGACGCAGGGCAGTGAGACACGTGGAGGGGAGACGCAGGGAGGGGAGACGCAGGGCAGTGAAACACGGGGAGGGGAGACGCAGGGAGGGGAGACGCAGGGCAGTGAGACACGTGGAGGGGAGACGCAGGGAGGGGAGACGCAGGGGGGGAGACGCAGGGAGGGGAGACGCAGGGCAGTGAGACACGTGGAGGGGATACGCAGGGAGGGGAGACGCAGGGAGGGGAGACGCAGGGAGGGGAGACGCAGGGCAGTGAGACACGTGGAGGGGAGACGCAGGGAGGGGAGACGCAGGGGGGGAGACGCAGGGAGGGGAGACGCAGGGCAGTGAGACACGGGGAGGGGAGACGCAGGGAGGGGAGACGCAGGGCAGTGAGACACGTGGAGGGGAGACGCAGGGAGGGGAGACGCAGGGCAGTGAGACACGGGGAGGGGAGACGCAGGGAGGGGAGACGCAGGGCAGTGAGACACGGGGAGGGGAGAGTGTCGCTCTGGGACAGAGGGTCTCGCCACGGGCATCGATTTTGGAAATCGATTCGCACTCGAGGAACCGATTCCGTACAGAACAGGGCTGCTCTGCCGACGGGACACGTGACGCTCCTCATCTGCCTTGCCCCCCCTCCCGCCCCTTGACTGCTGGCGCCTTAAGGATGGGGACACTGCGAGTGTGGGGGTCATCGGGATTCCAAGGGGACGGAAGGGGGGGGGTAAGTAGGGGTCTCAGACGCACGTCTGAGCGCACTCATCCACGATTAACCCGGCGAAGCCAATTAGCGGCCAATTACCACCCAGTGCCTCCTTCTGCCTCTATGAGCAGTGGGGCGTGGGTGCACGCGTGCGTGCGCTGGGGGGATCACACGCGCGTACACAGACACACTCACAGATACATACACACAGATACATGCAGACACACTCACAGATACACACATACAGATACACACACATACACACTCACAGATACACACAGAGACTCACAAATACACACACATATACATACAGACACACTCATAGATACACACAGACACTCACAAATACACACACACACATATACATACAGACACACTCATAGATACACGCACGCAGATACATTCGCACACATACACACAGATACACGCATACACAGATACACTCACAGATACATATACACAGATACATACATGCATGCACACACAAACACCCATTCACGTCCACACACGCGTTCGCACGCACACACAAAACAAAGATCCCCCGTATAGCCTTAATAGACTGCTGGGGCAAGTGCTGTTAGCGAGCACCTATGAAAGCCGGCACTGCACACGAAGGGGTGGGTGGTCAGCACCACGTCCGGTCGCCTTTGTCTCCCCGGTGGCGATGTTTACAAACCGCACCAGGTACTCATTTGAGGCTGAGTCGACCAAGAGGAGGCCCAGGACCGGTTCAGATAATCGCCGTGAGCGGAACTCGAACTCGGGTCGCTGGGTTCGTAGCGCAGCGCGCTAACCGCTACACTACCACTCCCCACTACCGCATGCACACACGCCCACACACACACGCATACATACACACGCCCACACACACACGCGCACACACGCGCCCACACGCGCACACATGCGCACACACACGCGTGCACACCTGCCGCTACCATCAACGGATCCAGCTCCGCTCGATTGCAGTGGCAGGGGGGAGGCGGGGGCGAGGGAAGAACATCACGGGGAGGGGTTGGGTCCGTCAGTCCCCATACCCCGCAGGTCGTAGGGTCACCATTAAACACCCTCGTGTGCCCCCTCCTCCTCCAGGCATGGCGAGCTTGAGTGACTCCTGCAGAGATCGGGATGTCCTCCTCCTGAGCATCATCATCAGCGTGGCTAAAGCCGCCGATGCCACCACCACCGCACCCCCTCGCAAGAACCCACAGCTGCTGCAGCTGCAGAAGCAGCGACCTCCTAGATCTGCCCTGACCGTCTCATCCCGGCACCTGCTCTGAGACTCACCCAGTGACCCGTAGACTCACACAGTGACCCGTAGAGTCACAGAGAGACGCATAAACCCACGCCATAGACCCACAGGAAGACCCGTAGCTCTGCCCCGACGGCCTCCCCCACCACCTGGCCCCAGGTCTCATTTTTCCCTTTGGATGGTCGGACGCGTGGAGACCACTCCACTGTGGGTCTCAGAAACGGGCCCTGCCCCATGCCGCCCGTCACTCAACTCAGCGATGCCGTCACTCCCCCTCTCTCTCAACCACCCCTCTCTCTCACCCCCCCTCTCTCTCACCCCCCCCTCTCTCTCACCCCCCCTCTCTCTCACCCCCCGCCCCATCCCTCATCCCATCGAGGGGGATTGCGTCGCTGCGGCCAGGATTGGGGATGGTTCGGTTTGCTGCTGCGCGTGACACAAAGGTCGCGGGGGAGCTTTGGGGGAGGGAGTGGGGGGGGGGGGGGGCTGAGAGGGGTGTTAGGGGTAGGCACAAGCACGAAGGGCGTAAGGAGTGGGGGGCGGGGGGAGGGCGTGGGGGGTGTGGAGCGGGGTGGGGGGTAGAGGCCAGGGTAGGAGAGCCTGGGATGGCGAGGGGATGGTCGGCAGGAACTCGGGAGCAAGAGGATTGCGTTAGGGGGTAGGGTTAGGGGGAAACATTGTGGGATGGGAGAGGAGGGCGGGGGGATAGAGGGCTGGGGGGGGGGGGCGGTGACGTGCGCGCGCGCGTGTGCCCCCTCGCCGTGTACCTTGCTGCATGAGAGCTCCGACGCCAAACCAGAAACTGTTTAGCAGCGTGAAGTTATTCTCCACCACGTCCGAGTCCGGGTTGCACGGGTGCGGGTTGTACCACTCGTACGGGCTGAACCTGCGGTGCGGGACCACCCACACGCCCCACCCGAGTAGGGGGGGGGGTGGTGGAGCACAGGTGAGCTTGAAGGTCGTCCGGCGCGGCGTGCGGGGGGTTCCGGCTCCGCCACCTGCAAGGCGTTCTCGGAGAATCGCTCTCACGACAACTCTCTCACACTCTCACACAACACGCACAGACAAAGATCCCCCGTGCAGCCTCATCAGACTGTTGGGGCAAGTGCGTTTAGCGAGTAGCACCTATGAAGGCCCGCACGGCACACGAGAGGGTGGGTGGCCAGCACCACGCCCGGCCTCATTTGTCTCCCCAGTGACGATGTTTACGCAGCCACGCACAAAGCTACTGATTTGAGTCTTAGTCGACCTAGTGGAGACTCAGCTCCGGTTGTGATAATCGTCACCGGCGTTGGCCGTGAGCGAGAATCGAAATCGGGTCGAACGGGTTAGCAGTGCGTACGGTGCGCCGCGCACAACTCTCAGTCTCGCACAAAACGGCGGCGAAGTCCCCCACGGCGCTTGCGCCAGGCTAGGTGCACCTTGAGGCCGCGTCACGAGTGGCGGTCTCGCTCGCTGCTGGAGGCCCCGTGGTCTTCCTGCCAGCGGCGCCTTCAGATCGAGCTAAAGGCGCAGCCCCTGGAAATTCCCCGCTCACGCCACTGCTAGTGGAAGGGGCGGCCCCCATGCGAGAGGGAGTTCGGGAGGATCCCCTCCGCGCTTGGCCAGGCACGCGACTCCGTCGAAACACGCAAACAAAGAGTGGTGGCGTGGTGGTGGTTACACGCTTCACGAGCCCGATGATAGGCGAGATCCTTCTGCTCTCTGCGTCACGTGGCAAACCTCGCGCGGAGTTTCGCGATCTAAATTAGAATCGGCGCTCCCCGCGTCACGCGCGCATATCAACCATGAGGCGCGTGCAGCGTGTAACGGCTATAATTTGCTGTCACGTCTCCCGCTACGCGCGCCGTTATCGCGGAACCGTGGAAAATGACAGCTAAGGAGCCCCTAGGCGGATCCCCCCCCCCCTCATCGGATCTCCGCTCCCCGTCCGCCTTTGTCTCTCTCTCTGTCACGCGAGGCTACACGCGCTGCGCTCTGTGTGTCGCGGCGCCGATAACGTGCCGAGGACGAGGAGGCGAGTCCCCCTATCTCCCCACAACACGTGGCGCTATGGCCACGTGTTGTGGGGAGAAACGGGGGGGGGGGGGGGTCCTGCGGACGTAAAGCGGCTCCCGCCTCGCCTCCCACGGCGCCCCCGTTGTGAGTCGAGCGAATTGGAGCCCCCCCCCCCTCCCAGCCGCCCACAGAGCAGAGAGCCACGCGGATTGTGGTGACCTACGGAGGAGTTTGAGATCGAGTGTGTTCCACCCGGGCTGTGACTACCGCCCCCCCCCTCACCCACCTCCCCCCTCCAGGTGTACCTGGGTGCGAGTTTCACTCACCTGAGCAGAAGAGAGGGGGGGGGGGTGAGAGGGAAGAGAGGGGAGGGGTAATGCCCGAGACCAGGCTGCATGTTCTGCCGCGGCTCCGATAACAGCTGTGCGCTATGAACGAGAGCCCCTCCCCTCACCCCCTGCCCACCAACCCCTCCCCCCACGTGCACGAGCGCACACACGTACACACACGCGCACGTATACTCACTGTCACACACCACACACATAGTCTGGAACAGACTGTTGGGGAAAGTGCTGTTAGCGAGCACCTATGAAGGACGGCACGGTACACGATGGGGTGGGGTGGCCAGCACCACGCCCTCACCTGTCATCCACACACACACCCTCACACTCACACACCCCATCACACCCCTCACCCACACACGCCATCACACCCCTCACCCACACACCCCATCACACCCTCACCCACACACCCCATCACACTCACACACCCCATCACACCCTCACCCACACACGCCATCACACCCCTCACCCACACACCCTCACACTCACACACCCCATCACACCCCTCACCCACACACCCCATCACACCCTCACCCACACGCCCCATCACACCCCTCACCCACACACCCTCACACTCACACACCCCATCACACCCTCACCCACACACCCCATCACACCCTCACCCACACACCCCATCACACCCCTCACCCACACACCCCATCACACTCACACACCCCATCACACCCTCACCCACACACCCCATCACACTCACACACCCCATCACACCCCTCACCCACACACCCCATCACACTCACACACCCCATCACACCCTCCCCCACAAACACCCCATCACACCCTCACCCACACACCCCATCACACTCACACACCCCATCACACCCCTCACCCACACACCCCATCACACACCATCACACTCACACACCCCATCACACCCTCCCCCACAAACACCCCATCACACCCTCACCCACACACCCCATCACACTCACAAACCCCATCACACCCCTCACCCACACACCCCATCACACACCATCACACTCACACACCCCATCACACCCTCCCCCACAAACACCCCATCACACCCTCACCCACACACCCCATCACACTCACACACCCCATCACACCCCTCACCCACACACCCCATCACACACCATCACACCCACACACCCCATCACACCCTCCCCCACAAACACCCCATCACACCCCTCACCCACACACCCCATCACACTCACACACCCCATCACACCCACACACCCCATCACACTCACACACCCCATCACACCCCTCACCCACACACTCCCCATCACACCCCTCACCCACACACCCCATCACACCCTCGCCCACACACACCCCATCACACCCCTCACCCACACACCCCATCACACCCCTCACCCACACACACCCCATCACACCCCTCACACACCCCATCACACCCCTCACCCACACACCCCATCACACCCCTCACTCACACACACCCCATCACACCCCTCACCCACACTCACCCCATCACACCCCTCACCCACACACCCCATCACACCCCTCACCCACACACACCCCATCACACCCCTCACCCACACACCCCATCACACCCCTCACCCACACACACCCCATCACACCCCTCACACACCCCATCACACCCCTCACCCACACACCCCATCACACCCCTCACTCACACACACCCCATCACACCCCTCACCCACACTCACCCCATCACACCCCTCACCCACACACCCCATCACACCCCTCACCCACACTCACCCCATCACACCCCTCACACACCCCATCACACCCCTCACCCACACACCCCATCACACCCCTCACCCACACACACCCCATCACACCCCTCACCCACACTCACCCCATCACACCCCTCACCCACACACCCCATCACACCCCTCACCCACACTCACCCCATCACACCCCTCACCCACACTCACCCCATCACACCCCTCACACACCCCATCACACCCCTCACCCACACACCCCATCACACCCCTCACCCACACACACCCCATCACACCCCTCACCCACACACACCCCATCACACCCCTCACCCACACACACCCCATCACACCCCTCACCCCCACACACCCCATCACACCCCTCCCCCACACACACCCCATCACACCCCTCACCCACACACCCCATCACACCCCTCACCCACCCACCCCATCACACCCCTCACCCACACACCCCATCACACCCCTCACCCACACACACCCCATCACACCCCTCACCCACACACCCCATCACACCCCTCACCCACACACCCCATCACACCCCTCACCCACACACCCCATCACACCCCACACCCACACACACCCCAACACACCCCACACCCACACACCCCATCACACCCCTCACCCACACACACCCCATCACACCCCTCACCCACACACACCCCATCACACCCCTCACCCACACACACCCCATCACACCCCTCACCCACACACCCCATCACACCCCTCACCCACCCACCCCATCACACCCCTCACCCACACACCCCATCACACCCCTCACCCCCACACCCCCCCCCACCCCCCACACCCACACACCCCATCACACCCCTCACCCACACACCCCATCACACCCCTCACCCACACACCCCATCACACCCCTCACCCACACACACCCCATCACACCCCTCACCCACACACACCCCATCACACCCCTCACCCACACACACCCCAACACACCCCTCACCCACACACACCCCATCACACCCCTCACCCACACACCCCATCACACCCCTCACCCACCCACCCCATCACACCCCTCACCCACACACCCCATCACACCCCTCACCCACACACACCCCATCACACCCCTCACCCACACACCCCATCACACCCCTCACCCACACACCCCATCACACCCCTCACCCACACACCCCATCACACCCCTCACCCACACACACCCCATCACACCCCTCACCCACACACCCCATCACACCCCTCACCCACACACACCCCATCACACCCCTCACCCACACACACCCCATCACACCCCTCACCCACACACACCCCATCACACCCCTCACCCACACACCCCATCACACCCCTCACCCACCCACCCAATCACACCCCTCACCCACACACCCCATCACACCCCTCACCCACACACACCCCATCACACCCCTCACCCACACACCCCATCACCCCCCTCACCCACACACCCCATCACACCCCTCACCCACACACCCCATCACACCCCTCACCCACACACACCCCATCACACCCCTCACCCACACACCCCATCACACCCCTCACCCACACACACCCCATCACACCCCTCACCCACACACCCCATCACACCCCTCACCCGCAGTTTCACTCTCGCCCCCTCGTGTGTCGCGCTATACACCAAAGGTTACTCGCTTCTTATATCCGACATTAACTCCGCGCCTGGGTCATTAATCACAGTGACGGCGATGGGGGGGGGCAATGCGTGAGAGGGGGCGGGGGGGGATTGGCAGGGTGGGGGGGCATGAGTTGGCTCGGAGATGAAATGTGGTCACTCGACCCGACTCCTCGACTCTCTCACGCAATCTCTTACTCACTCCCTCATTCTCTCTTTTTCTCTCTCTCTCACTCGCTCTCTCTCTCACTCGCTCTCTAAATCTGACTCGCTCTCTCTCACGCTCCCTCTCTCACGCTCTCTCTCACTCGATCTCTCTATCTGACTCGCTCTCTCTCTCTCTCTGTCATGCTCTCTCTGTCACGCTCTCTCTCTCACGCTCTCTCTCACGCTCTCTCTCTCTCACGCTCTCTCTCTCTCTCACGCTGCATTCCCGGGACCTGGCCGACCTACCGGACACAAAATGGAGAGACCATTTCTCTCCCTTCATTGCAACCGCCCCTCAGTGGAAACAAATGTACAAGTCTCCCGTAGCCAAACGCTGCGGTGACCTCCAGTGGAGGTTGGCACACTGCACGTTGCCATCGGCCGTGTGGCTCAGCCGAAGCTCGCCAGGGGTAACAGACTTGGTGCACTTCCTGCGGTGCCAGGGAGGATCTGTCCCACCAGTACTTACGCTGCCAGCGGCTCAAACCAATGTTCCGCCTCTTGGGGGACATCTTCAGGAAACTGGGGGTACCCTTCTACAACAGCAGCTTCGTATATGGGGTGGTGCCTTTACCTGACTAACAAGCGCCATGACCTCGACAAGTTGGCGGTGTACAGAACGAGAAAAAAGATGCTGGAAGGTGACACTGACGGCTGCTCCGTGCTTCCAGTGGTCAGAGGCCTGCTTAAGGCGCGGCTCTGGCTGGAACACGCGTACCACACACATGTCGGTGATGTGCACGTCTTCTTCGAACGCTGGGGAGCCGGACAAGCCCCACTCTGTACCAGCGTGGACGGCACCCCACGTGTTCACCTTCTGAAGCGCTCGCTCATCAACGTGGCGTGCGCGAATGACCACCACAACCACGTGACTTTTCTTTCATGTTGTGCGCGGTGCTTTTTAGCGCCACAGCGCGTGGATTTGTAACGTTTATTTTCATTTGTTTGCTGGTGACTTTGTGTATTTCATATCGAAATCGCCTCCAGTGCTTTTGCTGCTGGCGGCAATAAAAGTTGTTTAAAAGTCAAAAGTCTCTCTCGCTCTCTCTCTCACGCTCTCTCATTCTCACGCTCTCTCGCTCTCTCTCTCTCTCTCACGCTCTCTCTCACTCTCTCTCTCACGCTCTCTCTCATGCTCTCTCACGCTCTCTCTCACGCTCTCTCATTCTCTCACGCAACCTCCCACCTCTCTCTCTCCTCTAACGCAGCTCTCACGCACGCACAGTCAATGTGTGTGGGTGGGGGGGGGAGGAATGGAGTGCTGTTAGCGAGCATCTGAATAAGGCCAGCTCGGCACACGTGGAGGATGGTGTGGCCAGCACCACGCCCGACCGTCTTTGTATCCCCTGTGCTGTTGTTTTTCACTCCAGCCGCAGGTTTTTTATTTAAGTCTGGGTCGACCTAAAGGGGTGGGGGGTGGGGGGTCCAGGACCGGTTCAGATGTCCGTCACTGATGTTGGTCGTGAGCGGGAATCGAACTCGGTTCGCCGACTTAACCGCTGTGCCGCCGCTCCCCACGAACAGACACACACTCTCACTTACACACACTCTCACTTACACACACACTTATGCACACACTTACACACTCTCACTTGCACACCTTCTTTCTTACACACACACTTACACACACTCTAACATACCCACACTCTCACTTACCCACACTCTCACTTGCACACACTCTCACTTGCACACACTCTCACTTACACACACACACACTCTAACTTACACACACTCTCACTTACACACACACTTACACACACTCTCACACACACTTACACACACTCTAACTTACACACACTCTCACTTACCCACACTCTCACTTACACACACTCTCACTCACACACACACTTACACACACTCTCACTTACACACACACTTACACACACTCTCACTTACAAAACAAAGATCCCCCATATAGCCTTAACAGACTGTAGGGGCAAGTGCTGTTAGCGAGCACCTATGAAGGCCGGAACGGTACACGAGGGGGTGGGTGACCAGCACCACGCCCGACCGCCTTAGTCTCCCTAGTGGCAATGTTTACACACCGCACCAGGTACTCATTTGGGGCTGAGTCGACCTAGGGGAGGCCCGGGACCGGTTCAGATAATCGTCACTGGTGTTGGCCGTGAGCGGGAATCGAACCCGGGTCGCCAGGTTCATAGCACAGCGCGCGCTAACCGCTAAACTACCACTCCCCACTACACACACACACTCTCACTTACACACACACAGACACACACTTACACACACACTCTCACTCTCTCGCACGTTAAGTGACCACTCAGAGATACGCGCTCACACCCCCCCATCCTCCCTTACCCTTCCCACCCCTCCCCATCCCTCCTTCCCCGCCCAAGGTCTAATTAAGGATCTGCTTGCGAGGAAATGAGCTGCGAGAGGTACACGTGGAGAGAGAGAGAGAGAGGAGGAGGAGGGGGTCGACAGACAGAGAGAGAGGGTAGCGGTGGTGAGGGTGTATTTATATTCCGAGTGGTGTTCCCGTTAAATGGGCATCGACGCTTTGCTGCTCGTCCTCCCGTTCACAGCCCTGCAGAGCCCAAGTGGTGGAAATTCCACATTCCTGTGGCGGTGGCGGACGCGGCGACGGTGGTGGTGGTGGGGGGGAGTCTCTCTACAGGACGACGATTGTTGGCTTCGTCACAAAGTGGTAGCTACTTTGTAGACCGCGGAGGAAGGGAGGGATGGATGATTGGCCGAGTCAACCCACCAACCAGGGTTTTAACTCGCGAAACTTCCGATTGCGAGCCGGTTAAAAAAAGACATGTATATATATAAAAAAGTATAATCCACGGCAGGATGACCATACTTCACCACACTGGTCAATAAGTGTTGGCGCAGAGGTGCGGTGCCCAGGACATGTCCAGATACCACTCGCTACGCCACTGATGTTAGCCGTGCCTGGGAATTGAACTGGAATGTGGATCGGGGGGTGGCCGGTGGGGGGGGGGGGGGGGGTATTATAGAGGGGGAGTTCAGTGGAGAGCCTCAGAGAGAGAGGAGAGAGAGCTGGAGCTGGGTTGGTCGGTCGAGAGAGGGTTAGTGAGAGTATCAGTCAGAGAGAGGCGTTCGAGAGGGTGGAGGAGAGAGCCGGGGAGAGAAGCACCATTACCTGGCGATGACAAACAGCACACAGCTGACACCTAAGCAGGCGAGCAGAATATACATCCAGATATCGGGCGAGAGCGGATTGAGGAATGAGAAGACGCCAGGGTTGGTGCCGTTGGGCTTCCGATACAGGATGCTGATGCCCAGCGTCATGAAGGGCTTCGAGAAGTCGATGACCTTCTCCCGAACGTAGGTGATGGTCAGCGGGGCCACTGCCAGGTCGGCCTTCTGTGGTGGGAGGGGGGCGGGAAGGGGGGCAGAGGTTTGGGGGGGGGTGCACGGTTGTGTGGAGGATTTGACGAATCTCGTCGGATGGGTTGTCCACGTCGATTTTGAGCGCTCCCCCCCTTCCCACCCCCTCCCCAGCGAAGGTTCAGAGCGATTATAATTAAAGAGCGCGGGCGAGTGGGTGGGTAGATCTTCTCGGCCACGGTCATTCCCTTGCGAAACGTGGACCCCCCTAATGGAACATCTTCGCCGGTTAGAAACATTTAGGCTGGCCTCCCTACGATCCATCCTGGGTTTAACCAGACTGGATTGTGTGAGGAGCTCACAAATCCTTGAAAGATCTGGGCAAGGTCCCATCGGTGAGCTCCTCCGGCGGGGAAGGCTGCGATGGCTGGGTCATGTAGCCCGCATGCCCAGCCACCGCATGCCGAAACGGCTTTTGTTCGGCCGGATTGAAGGGGCTAAGTGGGCGCGGCACGGGCTAGAGAAGAGATGGAGTGATGTGGTACAGGAGGACGTGGAGCTGAGTGGACTTGCCGATGACTGGTACCAGCGGTGTCAAGATCGGTCTCTGTGGAGAAGGCTCGTGAAGGACGCTACTGGGCAGTTGGAGGCAGTCGCCCTCCAACAACAACGGAGGGCGGAGGAGCGACGCTCAGAACAACGAGCGGAGCGCCGGGTGGCTAAAGCACAGCAGGTTGGCACAGTAGGGGGCACAGGTGGTGCATCAGCCAGTCATCTCAGTCAGTCGACCCGTGGCACCTGGGTCTGCCCCGTGACCTCCTGTCAGCGGGCGTTCGACACTTCACGTGGCCTCAGGGTGCACATAGCCTGGCACAAGCGTCGTGGTGACGTCACCGCCACTTAGTGGCGAATGGCGGTTGTTGTCGTTGTCGGTGGGATATGCGAGTCGGTGTGTGTGCTGGTGTGTGTGTAGGTTGGAGATGCGAGTCGATGGGTGTGCGTGTGAGGCTGGGCATCATCTCCCGCTATCTCTAATTGGGATCTGCTCGTTACCGGCGATGGCAACGCGCCCCGGGCCCCCGCGCGCCCCATCGATCGCGGGCAACGGGGGCGCCAGCCTCGCCGCTCTCTCCGGGCCCTGCACCCCTCCTTGCCCCCCTCCCTGCTCCCCCCCAAGCCCCCCTGCCCCCCTGCCGTGCCAAGGTCCCTTCTATTCTAATCTATTTAGGATTTATAAAGCGGTGGTGGCGGCCACGCTGCACGCGGCGACTGTGGCCCAGCATCGTGGAGGTACCAGCAGCAGCGGCGGCAGAGGCCAGGGGTTGGTGGATCACAACCACCAACCTCCCGCCACCCAAACAACTCCCCTCCTTTCCCTGTGGGGTGGGCTTCGAGGTGGGCGGCGAACCCTGTGGCTCGCCCAGGCGAAGGCGGTTCGGCAACAGTGTGGAGCAAAGGCCACGGAGTGATCCTCCTGTGGGAACGATGGGCTCGAGTGTTGTTCGCTCCCTCGCACGCAGCGCGGCGGGCTTTCTCCGGGGGTCCTAAGCCTCAAATGAGTACCTGGCGTGGTGTGTAAACATCGCCACTGGGAATACAAAGGCGGTCGGGCGCGGTGCTGGCCACCCACCCCCCTCGTGTGCCGTGCCGGCCTTCGTAGGTGCTCGCTAACAGCACTTGCCCCAGCAGTCTGTTAAGGCTGTACGGGGGATCTTTGTCTTTTTATGCGAGTCGGTGTGTGTGCGTTGGTGTGAGATGCGAGTAGGTGGGTACCCCTCTACCACAACCCCTCCCCCCCACCCGAAAGCCCCCGCCAGCACCCCCCCCCCCCCCCCCCCTTCACCACCGCCCCCTTGAGATTCCGCAGATTGGAAATGTATTGATATTTACCAGAGAACACACATTGAATGTTGTGTTTGATTAATGCGAGCCCCTATTGGAAGAGCTCGACATTCGGGAGGTTTATACATCCGCCAGTGTGGCGGTTGTGGTGGTGATTGTGGTGGTGACTGTGGTGGTGGCTGTGGTGGTGATTGTGGTGGTGATTGTAGTGGTGACTGGGTATTGTGAAGCTGATTTTTTATTATGCTAATTGCTATAATGATGACGAGCTCGCGCACCGTTGCCCCACGTGTCCCCCGCGCGGTGTCACTCACGTGGTCCATGAGCTCGCGCACCATGCCCCACGTGTCCCCCGCGCGGTGTCACTCACGTGGTCCATGAGCTCGCGCACCATGCCGTTCCACTGGCCGTGCTCGTTCTGGGCGCCGTACTTGCCGTCGCCCACGAGGTGGACGTCGTAGGTAAATTTCAGGATGTTGGCGAGCTCGCGGAGCAGGTCGATGCAGTAGCCCTCGAACCGCTCGTTGCCGTACAGCGGCTTGTCCGACTTCTTGTACATCACGTACGGGTCCTCCTGCGGGAGCCAGCGCGCCGGCGAGGCCGCACGCAAACACGCGGCGGCGGCGGCGTCGGCAAACGTTTTAACAAAGAAAACAAAGATGCAGAATCGTTCCCGTTTCACAGCCCTGCAGAAGCAGTAGGCGGGAAATTCCACGTTCCGATTAGTGGGGGGGCGGGGGGGGGGGGTCGGTGGGCAAGTCCATCCATTTCACAGCCACTATCGACTTCTCCCAAAGTGGTGTCCGTTTTGCGAGCTTTAACCGACCCTCGGAGGGAGGGTCTGTGATGGGCCGAGCCAACCCCCCAAAGCGGGATTTGACCTCGCGGACCGCTCGCTCCCCCGCGGGGCTGGCTCGGGAGCGGGGGGAGCGGTGCACCGGGCGCGGTGGGCACCGGTGTGACGCACGGTAGGCACCGGTGTGACGCGCGGTGGGCACCGGTGTGACGCGCAATGGGCACCGGTGGGACGGGCGCAAGGGGCGTCGTTTCGCCACCCACCAGGATGGTGGTGACCGCCAGCGAACGGTTGGAGATGATGTCGCTGGCGTTGCCGGCGCGCTCCTTGCGCCCATCCGTCATGTTGAGCCCCGCGGACGGGTCCCACGTGCCGATCTGGGGGGCCACGGGCGGGGGGGAACACGGAGGAGAGTGTTACCAGGGGGATTGGTTGCCATGCGATGGATTACTATGGGGTTGTGTTACCATGGGGATGGGTTACCATGGAGATTAGTTACCAGGGGGATGGGTAATCAGGGGAATTGGTAACCATGTGGATAGATTACCACGGATGTGATGCCATTGGTGAGTTTCCATGAAGGGACGTTACCATGGGGATATGTGTCCAAGGGGATCGGTTGTCATGGAGGTAGGTTATCATGGAGATTAGTTAACATGGGAAGGTGTTACCATGGAAATGAGTTACCGTTACAATTTTAATATAGAGATTGATGGTACTGGTGATGAGTTACCATGTATATGGGTTACTATGGATGGAATTTACCTCTGGGGATGCGTTAACATGGACATGCATTGCATTTACGTGGAGATAAGCGACCATCACGACGAGTTACCATGGAGAAGAGCAGTTACGCATGGGGGATATTTACAACAACGAAGCGCACAGAGACACGTGGAGACAGACGTGATGAAAACACGTGGAGACACACATGATGAAGACACGTGGGAGACACGTGTTCGCATGATGGATTATGTATGACACCTGCAAAGATGAAGCATCACGTTTCCCATCGGGGCTCAGAGAGCGTGGAGGGAGGGGGGGGGCGGGGAATGGAGAGGGGGGAGAGTGAGGGGATGGACGGGGTGGAGGCGTCTAGAGAAAAAGAGGGGGAGGGAGGGGGTAGAAAGATCGAGGTAGAGAAGGGGGAGGGAGGGGGATCAGGATGAGGTGGGTGAGGGTGGATGGGGGAGCATGGGGTGGGAGCGGATTGATGGAGGGGTGCACGTGAGGAGGAGGCGGCGGCGCGGGGGGGGGGGGGGTTATAGGGAACTCGCAGACATTTCCTGAAGGAGGTCTGAAGTTCGAAACGTCGAAACTCTGGTCTCCCAGGCGAGATTCAGTCATCAAGTGGGTAGAGGCGGAGTCAGGGCGAACGAGCTATAGCCGAGTAGCAGCGATATCAAGCAAATCGTCGTCATGAGCCATGATCTATACACTGCTGGATGAAGACCCCCTCCCCTCCCATCGCCATATCTCACGATCCGCCGACGCGACAATCAATTTCACCCCCAGCGCGCGCGAGCTGATTGTATCGCTCCTCCTCCGCAGGGGCGCCTCCCTGGGATGCGTCTGCATTTAGACGCAGGGTATAAAAATTCAGTTTAACACATCGTAGAGCTTTTGTGACCAATATTATCCGTAATAGAGTTTTGTGTTGTTGTTGTTAGATCGCGTTAACCCAGTCGGTTTACCCTGCCGGGTGTTGGCGGGTTTAACATTTATATTTACGTGATCTAAGCCAATAAAACTCCTATTATGGAAACAACATTCAAATTGCATCGTTTTGCATTTAGCTGCATTGCTCGCTGTATAAATGCAATGCAATAGTCTGAACTGGCGTGTGTTGTTTATGTCACGTGTCCCTCTCTCTGGCTGTCTCTCCGTGTGATTCCCTCTGAGTCACGTGTCCCTCTCTCTGGCTGTCTGTCCGTGTGATTCCCTCTGAGTCACGTGTCCCTCTCTCTGGCTGTCTGTCCGTGTGATTCTCTCTGAGCCACGTGTCCCTCTCTCTGGCTGTCTCTCCGTGTGATTCCCTCTGAGTCACGTGTCCCTCTCTCTGGCTGTCTGTCCGTGTGATTCTCTCTGAGTCACGTGTCCCTCTCTCTGGCTGTCTGTCCGTGTGATTCCCTCTGAGTCACGTGTCCCTCTCTCTGGCTGTCTGTCCGTGTGATTCCCTCTGAGTCACGTGTCCCTCTCTCTGGCTGTCTGTCCGTGTGATTCTCTCTGAGCCACGTGTCCCTGTCTGTGGCTGTCTGTCCGTGTGATTCCCTCTGAGTCACGTGTCCCTCTCTCTGGCTGTCTCTCCGTGTGATTCTCTCTGAGCCACGTGTCCCTCTCTCTGGCTGTCTGTCCGTGTGATTCCCTCTGAGTCACGTGTCCCTCTCTCTGGCTGTCTGTCCGTGTGATTCTCTCTGAGCCACGTGTCCCTCTCTCTGGCTGTCTCTCCGTGTGATTCTCTCTGAGTCACGTGTCCCTCTCTCTGGCTGTCTGTCCGTGTGATTCTCTCTGAGCCACGTGTCCCTCTCTCTGGCTGTCTGTCCGTGTGATTCCCTCTGAGTCACGTGTCCCTCTCTCTGGCTGTCTGTCCGTGTGATTCTCTCTGAGTCACGTGTCCCTCTCTCTGGCTGTCACTCAACGCGTCTTTGTGCGCACTCTCCAACGTTGTTGTCAATCTCCACAATGCTGATCTGCACGTCACAGCGGACATCATCATCACGCAGACAACACGTTCGTCAGTAACAACACCGTGGTGGACTGAAAAGAAAACGTATAACAGGCGACGTTTCAGGCTATGGGCCTTCTTCACAGCACACAGACAGAGATCCGCCCAGCAGGGCGAAGATGAGCGAGAAGAGAAGAGAAGGGGCTGGGCCAGGAGCCGTCACGGCGAGAGGAGACGGAGCAATGATGATTATGATGGTAATAATGATGGTAATGATGATGGTGGTAATGATGATGATGAGATCAGCTCGCGTGCAGGAAGGTGCTGGGTCGATCGCTGTCAGACCGCAGGATCGCGAGAGGTACCCGGGACAATTTGGGGACAGCATTCGACCAGCAGTGGATAAATCATGGCTGATGACGCTCACGAAGTCTCTAATATCAACACATTTATCTATATATACCGGGGTTTCGCTCAGGTCGATGAATATCTGCACGGATGATGATGATGAGCGTCTTCTTGGGAGTCCCGACTACGCGTTGAGACGAGATGCGAGGAGATTTTGTGGGGGCTGCGGAGGGAGGGAGGGAGGGGGAGGGGGCGGAGGAAGGAATTCACCCCCACCCTCCCCCATCCCCCATTGCTGCTCACACCTCGCCCCGGGCAGGCAGACTGATGATGTGTTTAAAGTTATCATCGGATAAGCTTTGTCGGGAGAAACTCATAAAGAGCGCATCGATAGCGCGTAAAGCGCTAACGCACGTACAGAAGAGAGAGGGAGGGCGAGAGGGCGAGAGAGGGAGAGAGAGAGTGCGACAGGGAGAGCGAGAAGGAGGCAGAGAGAGAGGAAACGAGAGACGGAGAGAGCGGCGCGCTGTGTCATTTGCGGGGAGCCTCATCCCGACGCCTCTACGGCCGTGGTAGCAGCAGCAGCAGCATCGGGCTGACGACTCTGGGGCGTGAGAGCAACGGCAGTGTAACTGGGATCTTCCGTGAGACTCTCCGTGAGGTTCTCAACGAGTCCTCCCCCCACCCTCCATTCCACCCCCCCCCCCTCCTCCCCGGGTAAGACGATCACAAACCAAACGTGACGAACGGCGTTCAGTAGAGGGGGGGGGGGGGGGCAGCTTCCGTGCTGCCCGCATTCCCCAGCACGCACTAACCAGGTGGAGTGTGGTCATCCAGCAGTGGATTGAGAAAAGGGGCTCAGGGGCTTTGTGTGCGGTGTACCCACACGCCCCTCCCCCCACGAACCCCCGACTCCCCACGCACCCCCGCCCCCCCACTCCCACCACCTCCCATCGATAGCGGCAGAGACGGAGCAATGAGCGATATCAGCAGCGCGGAGATAACAGCGAGGGGCGGGGTAGGGGAGGAGGGGGGGAGAAATAAGAAATCCGTGGAAGTGCCCGGAGCGCAGATTCCACGCATTCTTGATGCACATGACACACGTATACACACATTACATGTGCGCACATATGACATAAGCAGCAGCAATAACAAAAGCCGCCATTCGCCACTAAGTGATGGTGTCACAGCGCCTGTGCCAGGCTAGGTGCACTTTAAGGCCGGCACGTGTTGAGTGTGGAAGTCTCTCGCTGCTGGTGGCAGGAGGCCGTCACGGGAGAGACCCAGGTGCTATAGGTTGGATGACTGGCCGAGGGAGAGGCACAGATATTCGTCGCTGGTGTTGGCCGTAAGTGGGAATTGAACTCGGGTCGCCGGGTCAGCAACGCAGTGTGCTAACCAATTCGCCACTGCTCCCCACTTACACACGTACACACGTACACACACATATACACACATATACACACTTAGACACACATACACAGTTAACACGGATACAAATACAAAGATCCTCCGAATAGCATTAACTGGCTGTTGGGGCAAGTGCTGTTAGCGAGCACCTATGAAGGCCGGCACGGCACACGAGGGGGTGGGTGGCCAACACCACGCCCGGCCGCCTTTGTCTCCCTAGTGGCGATGTTTACACGCCGTATCAGGTACTCACACACACAGAGAGACACACACAGAGACACACAAAGATAAAACAAAGACAAAGATCCCCCATATAGCCTTAACAGACTGTAGGGGCAAGTGCTGTTAGCGAGCACCTATGAAGGCCGGAACGGTACACGAGGGGGTGGGTGGCCAGCACCACGCCCGACCGCCTTTGTCTCCCTAGTGGCAATGTTTACACACCGCACCAGGTACTCATTTGAGGCTGAGTCGACCTAGGGGAGGCCCAGGACCGGTTCAGGTAATCGTCACTGGTGTCGGCCGTGAGCGGGAAACGAACCCGCGTCGCCAGGTTCATAGCGCAGCGCGCTAACCGCTACACTATCGACAGAGACACACACACACACAGAGACACACACACAGACACACATACACACAGAGACACACACACAGAGACACACACACACAGACACACATACACAGAGACACACACACACAGACACACATACACAGAGACACACACACAGAGACACACACACAGATACATATCCACACAGAGACACACATACACACAGAGACATACACACAGAGACACACACACACACACAGAGACACACACACAGAGACACATACACAGACACATATACACACAGAGACACACACACAGAGACACACATACACAGAGACACACACACAGAGACACACACACAGACACACATACACAGACACACATACACACAGACAGCCACACAAATACACACAGACACACACACACAGAGACACACACACAGAGACACACACACAGAGACACACACACAGACACACATACACACACAGACACACAAACACACAGACAGCCACACAAATACACACAGACACAGAGACACACACACAGAGACACACACACAGACACACATACACAGAGACACACACACAGACACATATACACACAGAGACACACACACAGAGACACACACACATACACACAGAGACACACATACACACAGAGACATACACACAGAGACACACACACACAGAGACACACACACAGAGACACACACACAGACACATATACACACAGACACACACACAGAGACACACATACACAGAGACACACACACAGAGACACACACACAGACACACATACACAGACACACATACACACAGACAGCCACACAAATACACACAGACACACACACACACACAGACACACACACAGAGACACACACACAGAGACACACATACACAGACACACATACACACAGAGACACACATACACACAGAGACATACACACAGAGACACACATACACACAGAGACATACACACAGAGACACACACACAGACACACACACAGAGAGACACACACACACAGAGACACACACACACAGACACACACACAGAGACACACACACAGAGACACACACACAGACACACAGACACACACACAGACACACACACAGACACATACACACAGAGACACACACAGAGACACACAAACACACACGCTCGTCTATCTCTCCTGATCTGCGCAATGTCCATTAGACTCTGGTCCACGTTGCGCATCTCTGTAATGAACTGAGTCTGGATAAGGTGTGGGGGGGGGGCTGCATCGGAGCCAATCTCATTAGGACTCGGATCAATGGCTGTATCGCTCCCCTCCCCAACCCGGACTGGGAGCTGTCAGCCCGCGGCGTCGGCCACGACCGCAACGGATCGGGACTACCGCCACCACTGCCGCAACGACATCACGCGAACGCCGCCGACCCCTTCACGTGAGCCCATTTGCAACCTCCGATTAGCACGGCCGGCTGCGTACGGGGCGAAAGAAGTTCGACGCAGTACCAACGTGTGCTCAATGTACGAATCACAGTTTACTTATTTATCGTGGAGAGCCACGCTGAGTGACGGGGCTCGCTTTAAAGGAGGGTCCTCCGGCTGCTGCACGGGGTTGTAAATTTAACATGTTTTCTCGATCCCCGTACAGGTGTAAACAGATGGCGATTAGTCCACTGGCTGTACTGCCCTATCCTGGCGGAGCTAGGGCACGGCTCCTCCTCGACGCCTCCACAGTACTGGATTTCAGTCCACGTGTGCAGCAGCACCTCGATCACTCCCTCTCACAACACTTGCCCACCGTATCGCCTAAACAGATTGTGGAGGGCAAATTGCGGTTATCGAGCACCTGTGAAGGTCAGCACGGCGCACAAGGGGGGGGGTTTGTGTGGTCAGAACCACGCCCGGACGCCTTTGTCTCCCACAAGTGCTGACGTTTACACGCGGCAACCAAAAGCACTCGTTAAAGGTTGAGAAGACCCAGCGGAGGTTCCAGGAACCGGTACAAATAAATCCCCACCGATGTTGGCCGTGAGTGGCAATCGAAGTCGGGTGGCCCGGTTCGTAGAAGAGTGCGCTAACCGCTACACTACCGCGAACACCAACACTGCATCGACATCATCAGCACAACGCGTGCGTTCTCGGGGATATATGACGGTGTCTGGGCGCTGTGGTGTACGTATCGATCCGGCCCCATTTATTTATTGAAAGCCCTCCGCCACCCGGCAGAGCCAGAACCAATCGAATCGTCACGCTGAGCGTGCCGGAGGTGGTCGAACCCGAGTCACGTGATGACCACGACCCCCAGGGTCCACGGCTCCACCCAGCACGAGGCCGAAGCACGACTCCTGACCACCCCGCAAGGCCCCCCCCTCCTCCCATCAACCCGAACACCACCCACCCCCCGCCACCCCCTCCCCTCCACCACCAATCTCACATCAGAGACCCGTTCCTACTGCCGCGCTCTTAGCGGAGAGTGGAACGCAGGTGCGAGGGAATGCCCGCGGTCTAATCAGAGCCCCCGCAACCCCCCTGCCCCCACCACCCCCTGCCCCCACCACCCCCCTGCCCCCACCACCTCCCCCCTGCCCCACCACCCCCCCCTGCCCCCACCACCCCTGCCCTCACACCCCCCTTGACCCCCACCCCCGGCTCTATCACCCCCAATCCTCCCTCGCCGCCTCTCCGCTCCCAAGGCCTCTCCCAAGACGCCGTCTCACCCCGCTGCCACCAACCCCCGCGCCCAGCACGTGACGGAGAGCGAGCTGTGGTGACGTCATTGGAGTTACATTTAAAAAAACGACAGAGGGAGAGCCCCCCCCCCCCCCACTCTATTAGCGCCGCCGGGGGAGGGGGGAGGGGGAATGGGTCGTGGAGGGGGGTCGCGGGGGCGGTCTGGTTTAAACCGAACACGTGACCCCGAGGGCAGTGGACACTTGTGATGAACGGTGGCGGTGAGCTCACGGGGTCACGCGTAGCTGTGTGAGTGTCTGTGTCTATGTGAGTGTGAGTGTCTGTGTGAGTGTCTGTGTCTATGTGAGTGTCTGTGTCTGTGTGAGTGTCTATGTGAGTGTGAGTGTCTGTGTGAGTGTCCGTGTCTATGTGAGTGTCTGTGTGAGTGTCTGTGTCTATGTGAGTGTGAGTGTCTCAGTCAGGCGACCCGTGGCACCTGGGTCTGCCCCGTGACCTCCTGCCAGCGGGCGTTCGACACTTCACGTGGCCTCAGGGTGCACATAGCCTGGCACAAGCGTCGTGGTGACGTCACCGCCACTTAGTGGCGAATGGCGGTTGTTGTTGTTGTGAGTGTCTGTGTGAGTGTCCGTGTCTATGTGAGTGTCTGTGTGAGTGTCTGTGTAAGTGTCTGTGTGAGTGTCTGTGTGAGTGTCCGTGTAAGTGGCTGTGTGAGTGTCTGTGTGAGTGTCCGTGTGACACACATGTAGCCCGCATGCCCAGCCACCGCATGCCTAGCCACCGCATGCCTAAACAGCTTTTGTTCGGGCAGATAGAGGGGGCTAAACGGGCGCGGCACGGGCTAGAGAAGAGATGGAGTGATGTGGTACAGGAGGACGTGGAGCTGAGTGGACTTGCCGATGACTGGTACCAGCGGTGTCAAGATAGGCCTCTGTGGAGGAGGCTCGTGAAGGACGCTACTGGGCAGTTGGAGGCAGTCGCCCTCCAACCACAACGGAGGGCAGAGGAGCGACGCTCACAACAACGAGCGGAGCGCCGGGTGGCTAAAGCACAGCAGGTTGGCACAGTAGGGAGCACAGGTGGTGCATCAACCAGTCGTCTCAGTCAGTCGACCCGTGGCACCTGGGTCTGCCCCGCGACCTCCTGTCCGCGGGCGTTCGACACTTCACGTGGCCTCAAGGTGCACATAGCCTGGCACAAGCGTCGTGGTGACGTCACCGCCACTTAGTGGCGAATGGCGATTGTTGTTGTGGTTGTCTGTGTGTCTGTGTGAGTGTCTGTGTGTCTGTGCGAGTGTCTGTGTCTGTGTGAGTGTCTGTGCGAGTGTCTGTGTAAGTGTCCGTGTGAGTGTCTGTGTCTGTGTGAGTGTCTGTGCGAGTGTCTGTGTAAGTGTCCGTGTGAGTGTCTGTGTCTGTGTGAGTGTCTGTGCGAGTGTCTGTGTAAGTGTCCGTGTGAGTGTCTGTGTCTGTGTGAGTGTCTGTGTGAGTGTCCGTGCGAGTGTCTGTGTGAGTGTATTTGGGAAGCGGTAGTGTAGCGGTTCAACGCGCTGCGCTACGAACCTAGAGACCCGTGCTCGATTCTCGCTCATGGTCAACACCAGTAATATTTATTTGAATCTGTCCTGGGCCTCCCCTACGTCGACTCAACCTAAAATGAGTACCTGCTCCTGTGTGTAAACATCGCTACTACGGAGACCAAGGCAGCCGTGCGTGGTTCTGCCCACTCACTCCCCCCCTCCTCGTGTGCTGTGGCGGCCTTCATATGTGTTCGCTCACAGCACTTGTCCCAACAATCGGTTAAGGCTATACGGGGGATCTTTATCTTTGTGTTTGTGAGAGTTAAGTTGGGGAGTGTGAGCTTGCGTGTCAATACGTGGCAGTGAGTGTGTGTGAGATAGCGAGGGGCATGTGTCATTTGGGTGTGTGTATGTATGTGTGTTTCCATTGCATTGTGCGTGTGTTATATATGTGTGTACATATATAGTAACACACACACGTGGAGTCACGCACCTTGCTCCATACTCCGCCACGAAGAGCAGAGTCGGGACCGGTGGCGCGTGTGGGCTTGGGGACACACACGTGTACACATACTCACACACGTGTACACACACTCACACACCTGTACTCACACTCACATACATGTACACACACTCACACACCTGTACACATACTCACGTGTACACGCACTCACACACCTGTACATACACACCTGTACACACACACTCACGTGTACACACAATCTTGCACACACACATGTACACACACTCACATACCTGTACATACACGTGCACACGTGTGCTCACACCAGTGCACTCAGCTACACACACACACACCTGTACACTCACACGCACGTGTGCACAAACGTACACACACCTGTACACTCACGTGAACACACGAATGTACACTCACGTACCCACGCGTTCACGAACACACGCGTAGACTCACACCTGTACATTCGCGAACACACATGTTTATACACGCGCGCGTACACTCACGTACACACACGCGCGTACACACACACACGCCCCGCACTCCGTCTCTCCATGAGTACCGATAATTGGCTCACGTGACCTCATTACCGACTCTGCGTGACCTCAATGAAGTCCGCGCGAGGGGGGAGGGGGAGGTGAGGGGGGGGGGCTACAGCAGCCGTGCTGCAGCTAACACTGCAACAGCATCGGTACAGCCACCTGTCGCTACAGGTATACATGCTACGTATGTGCATGCTACACGCATGCTGATGAACTGCTCTGCACACATGCGTGTGTACCGCTATGCACGTATGACTGCCATACAGGTGTAGACCACTATGTGTGCACATGCCGCGGTATGTAGTGGTTCTCTACGCATGTACACCCGCTTTGCATATACAGTATATTGGTATGCATGGATATTGATCTACGTGTATAGTCCACGTGCATGTATATTCGCTGTTCACGTATTTTATTCACTATGCGTGAATATTGACGCGCGCGTATACTTCATTTACATGTGTATTGACGGATACGTATCGCTATACATGCATATTTCGTGCATATATACTCGCTATGCATGTATTTATCGATACATGTGGATACGCATGTATGTTCGCAATGCATCTACAATGCTATGCATGTACATGTTATGGATGTAGAACTTCTTTCGCACCGCACGTAGCCAAACCGTGCCCATCGGAGTTGCGGGGAGTAACAAACTAAACACAAGAAGCAGTTCCCAAAAAAACGAGCTTCCAATGTAGACGGCTTCCTAATGTCGGAAGGAAAGAGCGTTCCAGACGGCCGCAGAAACGCGTCTGATGCGGTGATCGCCGCCTTTGTTCGATGGTCGGCTCAGAGCCGCTGCTGCTGCTGCGAGGAGCCTAAAAGCTGCGCCGAGGATCATCACGTGGTGGTCTAGCCGGCCGGTACACGTATGTCGTGGAACTATCACGTGCACACACTAAAGACAAAGATTCCCCCCACCCATGTAGCCTGTAACAGACCGTAGGGGCAAGTGCTGTTAGCGAGCACCTATAAAGGCCGGAACTTCGCACGTAGGGGGTGGGTGGCCAACACCACGCCCGGCCGCCTTTGTCTCCCCAGCGGCAATGTTTACACACCGCACCAGGTACTCATTTGAGGCTAAGTCAACCTAGGGGAGGCCCAGGACCGGTGCAGATAATCGTCACTGGGTGTTGGCCGTGAGCGGGAATCGAACTCGGGTCGCCGAGTTCGTAGCGCAGCGTAGCGCTAACCGCTACCCCACGCACCGGCAGACGTGTGCACATGAACCTGCGTGTGCATCCACTGACAAACAGGTGCATGCACCACTGCTGCCCCGGCAGTGGTGCGTGTGTACACGGGTGCCTAAGTGTACACGAGGATGAGACGGGTGTTCGGGTGCACATGTACACGTGTGTACATGGGTACACGTGGGTATGCGAGTGTACATGGATACACGTGTGTACATGGGTACACGTGGGTACACGAGTGTACATGGGTACACGTGGGTAAACGTGGATACACGAGTGTAAATGGATACATGTGGGTACACAAGTGTACATGGGTACACGTGGGTACACGTGGGTACACGTGGGTAAACGTGGATACACGAGTGTACACGAGTGTACATGGGTACACGAGTGTACATGGGTACACGTGGGTACACGTGGGTACACGAGTGTACATGGGTACACGAGTGTACACGTGTATACACGTGGGTACACGTGTGTACACGTGGGTACACGTGTGTACACGTGGGTACACGTGTGTACATGGATACACGAGTGTACACGAGTGTACATGGGTACACGTGGGCGTTGGCCGTGAGCGGGAATCGAACTCGGGTCGCCAGGTTCGTAGTGCAGCGCGCTAAACGCTACACTACCGCTCCCCACACACACACAGACTCGGGTGGACACGGTCCCCGTGACCCGATGACCTCACCTTGTCGAGTCCGTCCTCTTGGAGGCTCACGATGTCGAGGTCAAAGTCCGTCCTGAGTCCGTTCGTCTTGTTGAAGCGAATCCTGCCCGTGAGTCCATCCCATTGCGTCTGTGGGGGTCACGCCACGTGGGGAGGGGGGGGGTCTCCCGTGAGTGTAGGGTACAGGTGTGTGGCCCAGAGGTCGTGTTCAATTCCACCAGTGACGATTACCTGCACAGGTCCTAGGCCTCCCCAAGGGAATCTCTTCGGGCCGCTCGGTGGGGGAGATCGCGACCCCAATCGACCCTGACCTCTGACCCTCGTGCGCCGTGCCGCTCTTCACCGGTGCTCGCGAACAACGTTTGGGGTGGGGGGTGTGGGGGGGTGTGGAGGGGTGGTGGGGTGGGGGGCGGTGACGTCACCTCTCGGATGAGCGCGATGAGCCGCGGCCCGAACCTCCAGGGCTTGTGGCGGTGACACTGCAGCGAGCTCACGGTCATGGAGGGAAGGCGCTGCGACGCGGCCGAGACCACGTGCACGGCGTCGTACATGAGGGCCGCGTCCGTCTACACAGACACGCACACGCGGACACGCACAGGTGCCACGTGTAGGACACACACACACAGATGCCACGTGTAGCACACACACACACACAGGTGTCACGTGTAGCACACACACAGGTGCCACGTGTAACACACACACAGGTGCCACGTGTAACACACACACAGGTGCCACGTGTAGCACACACATACACAGGTGCCACGTGTAGGACACACACATATATGCCACGTGTAGCACACACACAGGTGTCACGTGTAGCACACACACAGGTGTCACGTGTAGCACACACACACAGGTGTCACGTGTAGCACACACACACACACAGGTGCCACGTGTAGCACACACACATATATGCCACGAGTAGCACACACACAGGTGTCACGTGTAGGACACACACACAGGTGTCACGTGTAGGACACACACAGGTGCCACGTGTAGCACACACACATAGATGCCATGTGTAACACACACAGGTGCTACGTGTAACACACACACAGGTGCCACGTGTAACACACACAGGTGTCACGTGTAGCACACACACAGGTGCCACGAGTAGCCTAAACACTAAACTATTTTTTATTTTATCAGGTCAGGCCCACTGAGCTGAATAGCTCTTTTTCAGAAGCGACCTGGCCACAAATTATAGCTCAACGGCTTATCATCACGTGGAAATGTATAGCAGCCAATCACACGAATCGCACGTTGATTCTAAATGTGGAGGGAAAAAAACACAAGGGCCCAGATACAAATTTACGCGACCATGTGGAGAACAAATATACAGCAGGCGTCAGGCTCGGGATCGAACCCACGACCTCCTGTATACCAAGCGAGGTAGTTAACATCTCGCAACATTGTTACACACACGGAGGTGCAACAGGGAATGGCTTTGACTCCCAGCTACGCAGCTTTATCCGGCCTGCTCACCATCATGAAGATCCTTAACGATTGTGAGCAGTGGATCTGGGGCTCCGAAAGCACTCATACACACACGCTTCCACTGATACAAAAGATAAATATCTCCCGTATGGCCTTTAACAGACTGTAGGGGCAAGTGCTCTTAAGTGAACACCTTTGAAGGCCTGCACGGGACACGAGGTGGTAAGTGGCAGCACCACGCCCGGCGGCCTTTATCTAATCAGTGGCGATGTTTACACACCACACCAGGTACTCATTTGAGGCTGAGTCGACCTAGGAGAGGCCCCTGACCGGTTCAGATAATCATTACTCGTGTTGGCCACCACTCCCCACACACACACTCACACGTTACACATTCTCACAGTCACACGCACACACTGTAACAAGCTTGTACACTCACACACTGGTCCACACACAAACACTCGTGTACACACACTCCTGCAAAACACTCATATACACACTCACACTCGTGTACACACTCGTGCACACACACTCATATATACACTCACACTCGTGCACACACACACACTCATATACACACACACACTCATATACACACACACACTCGTGCACACACACACTCATATACACACACACACACTCATATATACACTCACACTCGTGCACACACACACACACTCATATACACACTCACACACACACTCATATACACACTCACACTCGTGCACACACGCACACTCAGATACACAATCACACTCGTGCACACACGCACACTCATATACACATTCACACTCTTGGACATCTAAATCCACATTCTAATTCCCTCGCCTCCCCTCGGCTCTGACTCAAAGCTCGGCCGCTCCGCTCCGCCATCTGTGCGGGCGCACGGGGACCGGGGGGCAGGAGGGAGGGAGGGAGAAAGGGGAGGGAGGGAGGGAGGAAGGAAGGGGAGGGAGGGAGGGCGGGAGGGAGGAAGGGGAGGGAGGAAGGGGAGGGAGGGAGGAAGGAAGGGGAGGGAGGGCGGGAGGAAGGGGAGGGAGAGGAGGGAGGGAGGGAGGGCGGGAGGAAGGGGAAGGAGGGGAGGGAGGGGAGGGAGGGAGGAAGGAAGGAAGGGGAGGGAGGGCGGGAGGGAGAAAGGGGAGGGAGGGAGGGAGAAAGGGGAGGAATGGAGGGGAGAGAGGGAGGGAGAAAGGAGAGGGAGGGAGGGAGAAAGGGGAAGGAGGGAGGGGAGGCAGGGAGGGGAGGGAGGGAGCTCGTGGTATTATTGCTGTGATTGTTTGGGTTGGGTTTTTTATGTAAAACAAACACAATTCATTTAATTTCCTTCCAGCTGATCCGGGATCAGCAGCGATCCTCACGCAGATACCGCGGCCGAGACGTAGAAATCTGAGCGATTCCCAATGCCCCATCCCCCTGTTCCCCAAATCCCCACCCCCGCACCCTCCCACCCCTTCTCCCTCCCCCAATGCCCCCCACCCACAATCCCAACTCGTCCACTGCACCCCCCCCCCCTCCACAAATGCAGTCCTTCCCTTGCTCTCTCCACGCGCACCACGCAGTATTTTGTTTAACCGCGAGGTGGGATCACGGGGGGCTGGGGGGGGCCCGCCAGAAATGGATTCACTCGGGGCGGAGCCTCGGGGGGGGGGGGGGGGAGACGCGGTGGAGGGGGGGGGTCCCAGGGGGAGTGGAGGTGGGGGGGACGCACTCTACATGGAAGCGCTTAAACTCGATTAAACTCGACAAATCTCTGCAAATGAGTCCCTGTGGGGAGGGGGGGGGGAATAAAAAGCCGCGTTGGGGGGGGGGGGTAGTTGCGGAGGGGCGGGGCACAACCCCCCCCCCCCTCTCTTCTCCATCCTCTCCTAACTCCACCTCATCCACGACAGAGCGAGCATGAGGACATCCTTCAATCCGGCGTCTGCGCGCGCCTTAATTACAAAGAGGATGTGTGTGTGTGGGGGGGGGGTGGGGTGCCAGAATTGGGAGTTGTGAGATGAGAGCGCGGGGAAGTGGGGGGAGAGAGGAGGGGGGGGAGGCTTGGTGAGGGGGGAGGGGTAGTAGGGGGTAAGGGGAGGGAGCGCCCCCCCCCCCCCCCCGTGTGTGCTGGGATCTCGCGCTCGATGCACGCGTTTGTAGGGATTGATTGCGCCCGAGCGCTGATAAAAGCGACCGCGTGCGCCGGGAGACATTGATTGAGCGGGGCCGAGATCCCGGAGATGGCGGGCGTGGAGGGGCTGGGTGGATAGGCAGAGAGAGAGAGAGGATATGGAGATGACTGGGGAGATGAGGAGGAGATGGTGGTGGTGATGATGATGGTTAGCATTGAGGATGATGATGAGGAGGTTATTATTTTCAATTATGATTATACCAATGGGGTAATGATGTCAGAGGGATGATAATGGTGGCGTCTATGGGATGAGTACTTTGATGGCGCTGATAAATATTGCTGCTGACGACGACGATAGCACCGTGAATATTTACCTCGTGATATCTCTCCGTCTAAACCAGATCAAGCCTCCCGTAAATCACGTGACTTGCGCGTGGCCACTCTCCTCCCCGCCCCGCCCCCTGTGAGAACAGACGCCGCTCCTCCATGCAGCTCCCTTCTACTTGCTCCTCTCATCTCTCTTCCGTCCTCTACCCTCTCATCATCATCGTCACCCTCTCATCATCCCCCACGTCTTGCCCCGGTCATTCCCCCCACCTCCTCCCTATCCTCCTCTCCCCGCGCCCTCTTTGTCTCTCTCGGGTTCCTCCTCCTCCCTCTGCTCACCCCTCGTGACCCCTCTGCTCCCGTTCCTCCGCCCCTCCATCATTTCCCTCTCTTCCCCCATTCCTCGCCTCGTCCCTCTCCCTGCGCCGCGGGCGTTACGTCGGTGACTCCCTCCTCGTGGTGGAGCCACGATGGAGACGCGTCTTCATCGGTGGGAGCAAAGCGTGCACCCCCCCCCCTCCCTTCTCCCCCCTTCTCCCCCCTCCCAGTACCGTCATAATTCCGTCGAGCAGACCGGACTCGGGCCGCGGCGACGCCTGGAGCCGCTCCATAGTCCACTTCTCGATGGTGGAGGCCACGTAGGAGCTGTCCGTGTTGAGGATGCGGAACCCGGTCATGTTCACTCCCGTGTAGCGGTAATTCTCCATGTTCAGAGCCAGCATGTCCTGGGGGGGGGGGGGGGGGGGGGCAGGGGGTGGGGGGGCAGGGCAGGTGGTGGGTCGCCAGGGATGCACGGCAGGACGGTGAGAAGGTTGGCACCGGTGGAGTCTGAACTGAACCGGTGGAGTCAAAGGTCACGCAGGGATCCGGCGGGGGCACGCGGGCGACATGGGGGGGGGGCGGGGGGAGGGGGCATTGATACACACGGGGTCATACACGCACATTCAGACGATTCCACATTCCGCTGACGGGGGCGAAATATATATCTGTAGGACAGCCAATGTTGACTTGGCCCACAAATTGTTACCCATTTTACCGACCACCCGGAGGGAGTTGATACTGATGGGCCGAGTCAACACAGAGTCGCCCGCTCTGCCGACGAGCACCCTGGCCAGTGCAGTGCGGCACTCGGTGCCCGGTGCTGCTCTCGCCGCTGTCTCGAGGTCCACTCGGGTGAGGGGGGACACGAGCGAGTCGAGGTGGTCACCGTGAGACACCGAGGGACACATTCGGTACCAGGGTAGGGCAGTGGGGGCAGTGGGGGCGGTGGTGTAGCGGTTAGGGCGCTGCGCTACGAACCTGGCGACACGAGTTCGATTCCCGTTCACGGCCAACACCCAGTGAAGATTATATTATCTGAATCGGTCCTGGGCCTCCCCTAGGTCGACTCAACCTCAAATGAGTACCGTGTGCGACGTGTAAAAACGTTGTCATTGGGGGGAGACAAAGGCGGCCGGGCGTGGTGCTGGCCACCCACCCCCTCGTGTGCCGTGCCGGCCTTCAAAGATGCTACTCGCTAACAGCACTTGCCCCAATTGTCTGTTAAGGCTATACGGGGGATCTTTGTCCTTGTGTTTTTTTTGGGGGGGGGGCACAGAGGGGGCGAAGCAGTGAGGAGACAGAGGGGGAGGTGGGGAGGATATCGAGGGGGAGCAGGTCGAGATCGAGGGGGAGCAGGGGGCAGGTCGAGATGGAGGGGGAGCAGGAGGCAGGTCGAGGTGGAGGGCGAGCAGGGGGCAGGTCGAGGTGGAGGGGGAGCAGGGGGCAGGTCGAGGTGGAGGGTAGGACGATGAGTCTGCGCTGGGGGTGGAGACAGAGACAGGAGCAGTGGTCACTCAATGGGAGAGCCAGAATTGAGCTGACGTGAGATAGCCCCCTTACCCCAGCCTCTCCCTCCACACCTCGCCTCCCCTCCCCCCGCGTTCCGATGCTGAGATGCTGGGGAAGCAGCCAAGTTTAATCTGAGAGGTCATCACGGACTATGCCACTGACGCTATGACGACAGACGGACGATGACGATAATGAGGTTCGTACGTTGATGGACACACGCTAGTTGGAGATTGATGATGGTCAAAGTTGGATGGTGATGATACTGCTGGTGGTGATGGTGGTGATGTTGGTGATGACGGTGGTGATGGTGGTGATTATGGTGATGGTGGTGATGGTGGTGATGATTTACTCTCGTCTCCTGCCCTGGTCTCATCCTGGGTGTTGCGCTGGAACCTTCCTCGCAGCTGCTCTTGAATGTGTGGTTGTGTTGGTGGTTGTGTTGGTGGTTGTCTTGGTGGTTGCGTGTTTGTGGTTGTATGGTTCTGGGTGTGTGGTTGTGTGTTTGTGGTTGTGTGTTTGTGTGGTTGTGTTGGTAGTTGTGGTTGTGTGGTTCTGGGTTTGTGGTTGTGTTGGTGGCTGTGTGGTTCGGGCCGTGTGGTTGTGTGTTTGTGGTCGTGTCGGTGCAGTTGTGTGGTGGCATTCGGGCTAGGGCAGGGGTCGTCAATCTTTCAAAGTAGAAGACAATTTTTTTTGTCTTTGACCAAAATCATTCTCGAGCCGCACCCCACGCATAACTACTTGAACACAAACACAGCAGCAGGCATGCAGCAGATGACAACACACATTCTGACTGAATAAACTAAACAGATGACGGAATAAACTGCGTCTATTTAGGTTATTTACCGCTTTAGCTTTTCGTTAACAACACATGTTATTGTTGCCAAGACATTCCATAGTGACCCCCATTTCCCTATTTAATAAATTATTCTTAAGGTTAAATTACGTTCAAGGTTTTTTTTTCAACGGCTGCCCACAAAGGGAGCCAGCCAAAAAGAGCCGCAAGGGGTGGAAGCCAAAGAGCCGCAATTGGTGGAAGCCAAAGAGCCGCAATTGGTGGAAGCCAAAGAGCCACAATTGGTGGAAGCCAAAGAGCCGCAATTGGTGGAAGCCAAAGAGCCGCAATTGGTGGAAGCCAAAGAGCCGCAATTGGTGGAAGCCAAAGAGCCACAATTGGTGGAAGCCAAAGAGCCACAAGGAGTGGAAGCCAAAGAGCCACAATTAGTGGAAGCCAAAGAGCCACAAGGAGTGGAAGCCAAAGAGCCGCAAGGGGTGGAAGCCAAAGAGCCACAAGGGGTGGAAGCCAAAGAGCCACAAGGGGTGGAAGCCAAAGAGCCACAAGGAGTGGAAGCCAAAGAGCCACAAGGAGTGGAAGCCAAAGAGCCACAAGGAGTGGAAGCCAAAGAGCCGCAAGGAGTGGAAGCCAAAGAGCCGCAAGGAGTGGAAGCCAAAGAGCCACAAGGGGTGGAAGCCAAAGAGCCACAAGGAGTGGAAGCCAAAAGAGCCACAAGGAGTGGAAGCCAAAGAGCCACAAGGGGTGGAAGCCAAAGAGCCACAAGGAGTGGAAGCCAAAAGAGCCACAAGGAGTGGAAGCCAAAGAGCCACAAGGGGTGGAAGCCAAAGAGCCACAAGGGGTGGAAGCCAAAGAGCCACAAGGAGTGGAAGCCAAAGAGCCACAAGGAGTGGAAGCCAAAGAGCCACAAGGAGTGGAAGCCAAAAGAGCCACAAGGAGTGGAAGCCAAAGAGCCACAAGGGGTGGAAGCCAAAGAGCCGCAAGGAGTGGAAGCCAAAGAGCCACAAGGAGTGGAAGCCAAAGAGCCACAAGGAGTGGAAGCCAAAGAGCCACAAGGGGTGGAAGCCAAAGAGCCACAATTGGTGGAAGCCAAAGAGCCACAAGGAGTGGAAGCCAAAGAGCCGCAAGGAGTGGAAGCCAAAGAGCCGTCGCAAGCGGCCTCAGAGCCGCAGGTTTGCCGGCCCCTGGGTTCGTAGGGGGCGGTTGTGTAGCGCTCAGCTGCGCACTCGGCCACCCGGGTTGGATTCCCGCTCACTTCCAACACCCGGTGACGATTATCTGAACCGGTCCTGGGCCTCCCCTAGGTCTACTCAGCCTCAAATAAGTACCTGGCGCGGTGTGTAAACATCGCCACTGGGGAGACAAAGGCGGCCGGGCGTGGTGCCGTGTTGTGGTTGTGTTTTGAATTCGGAGGTCGATTTCGCTCGCAGCTAAAACACGGAGCGCGGTGAGGAGGGGGCAAGGGGGGGTGAGGCGAGTAGGGGGAGGGGGCAGGGTTCAGCTGCCCACTGAAGGGGGGACCTATGAAAAAGTGAGTCCGCGTGTGTGTCAGTATGCCCGGGTGCGGTCAAGGGATGGCTCCCTATTGCTCAACCACGTTATGTATGCCGATTTGGTAATAGCTGTTAATTCAGAGGAGGAGTCGGAGACGCTGCTGCTGAGACTGGAGCGTGCCACTAAGCCCCACCAAAACTAAGCACCTGCCTGGGTATTTTGTACCATCGGACACTCCACCCCCACAACTCCCAATCGGTGATGGGAGAGTTTCCCATACCTGGGCAGTGTGCTCATGACCGGCTCCAGTTTAACAGCAGAGGTCTCCTTTCGAATCAGTCGAGCGGCAATATCTTTTCATCGGTTGCGTAACGCTGTGTGGAAGCTACCTGGTCTGTCGCTCCGCACTAAGCTTCAGATCTTCTCGGCCACGGTCATTCCCTTGCGAAACGTGGACCCCCCTAATAGAACATCTTCGCCGGTTGGAAACATTTAGGGTAGCCTGCCTACGATCCATCCTGGGTTTAACCGGCTGGATTGTGTGAGGAGCTCACAAATCCTTGAAAGATCTGGGCAAGGTCCCATCGGTGAGCTCCTCCGGCAGGCAAGGCTGCGTTGGCTGGGTCATGTAGCCCACATGCCCAGCCACCGCATGCCGAAACAGCTTTTAGTCGGCCGGATCGAGGGGGCTAAACGGGCGCGGCACGGGCAAGAGAAGAGATGGAGTGATGTGGTACAGGAGGACGTGGAGCTCAGTAGACTTGCCGATGACTGGTACCAGCGGTGTCAAGATCGGCCTCTGTGGAGGAGGCTCGTGAAGGATGCTACTGGGCAGTTGGAGGCAGTCGCCCTCCAACAACAACGGAGGGCGGAGGAGCGACGCTCACAACAACGAGCGGAGCGCCGGGTGGCTAAAGCACAGCAGGTTGGCACAGTAGGAGGCACAGGTGGTGCATCAGCCAGTCATCTCAGTCATCTCAGTCAGTTGACCCGTGGCACCTGGGCCTGCCCCGTGACCTCCTGCCAGCGGGCGTTCGACACTTCACGTAGCCTCAAGGTGCACATGGCCTGGCACAAGCGTCGTGGTGACGTCACCGCCACTTAGTGGCGAATGGCGATTGTTGTTGTTTCAGCAGTTGTCCCTACACGGGACAACATTGCCTGTGTACATATGATGTACACGTATGTCTGTGTGCACGTGCGTGCGTGCGAGCGCGCGTGCTTGTGCTGCGCCATCCCACGCACACACGTGCACATGTGATGTACACGCGACGTACACGTGTGTGTGCGTGTGCGTGTGTGTGCGTGCGTGTGTTTGTGCTGCGCGCTGGATTTCCTGGCCCCGGATCAATTCGCGCATTCAATCAGCGAGGCCTTGAATCCCTGCCCCCCTTCCCTCCCGCCCACAGCCCCTCCCCTCCCACCAGCCCCCACCCCCCCTCTCTCCCAGTGGTGCTGACGAAGCCCCCGTTGCGCGTGTCGCGCTGCCCCGCGGGGGCTGACAAAGCACGCCCCCCCCCCCGATCCGGAGTACCCCCCCCCCCGGGTTCTCCCGACGCCGCACCAGCGTGGTGAAGATGTAGTGGTAGTACTCAGTCATCATCCCCATGGACAGCGCCTGGGGGGGGGGGGGACAGGAGAAGGGGGGGGGAGCAGTCAGTCGCACCGCCTCCTCGGCTGCAGCGGCGGTGTACAGGGAGGGGGGGGCGGTGGAGGATGGGGGGGGGGGTCCGGAGTGATGTTGATGAATGAGATGATGTAACTGCGTGACGGGGGCTGGGGGGGGGTGGTGCGATGTGCGGTGATGGGGAGGGAGCAGATGAAAGAGTGTGGTGTGTGTGGGTATCGCCGTTATAGCGTCGTCGTCATCATCATCATTCGCTTAAGCAACCACCATCATCATCAGCAGCACCATCGTCATCATCATTCGCTTAAGCAACCACCATCATCATCATCAGCAGCGCCATCGTCATCATCATTCGCTTAAGCAACCACCATCATCATCAGCAGCGCCATCGTCATCATAATTCGCTTAAGCAACCACCATCATCATCAGCAGCACCATCGTTATCATCATTCGCTTAAGCAACCATCATCATCATCAGCAGCACCATCGTCATCATCTAGCATATAACATCGTTCGAGCACTCTAATAATGATGCGATCATCTAATACAAATCACACAATCATTAAGTTACAAATATCACCATCCTCACGATGAATTAACGTTATCCAAATCATCATTATACCCTAATCATCATCATCTTCCTAAATATCCAATAATTTTTTTTTAACTATATTGAATCATCACCTCTAATTCGCCCACATCGTCATCTTACACAAGATATACAACATCATGAAACCAATATTATGATTATCCAACCACCACCATCATCATCATAACCTGCTCATCATCCAACGATCACCATCTGAGTATAACTACAGTGGTGAGCCCAACGTGTCACCCTGCAGAGTTATCCGCTCATCGCTCTCGCAAAGAGAGAGACAGAGAGGGGACGACTCAGAGGCACCAGGTGGAGGAATCACAGACGAGCAGCAGCAGCTATGCAAGGCACTACCAACAATTTCCCAAGCTCTGCGGTCTTCGATATATTCATATGCTTACGTCAATTAACGTGTGTATATACGTGTGGCAGGAAACCCGAGCACCCGGAGAAAACCTACTCGTGCGAGGGGGTGACACTCGATCCCCGTACAGATGGAACAATTGGAGTCTACACTCAGCTTTACTGCCTTCTCCTGGCGAGCCAGGGCACGGCTCCTCATCGACGCCCCGCGGCGGAGGGAGTTTCGCAGCATCTCAGTGCAATCCACCAACCCTCGCTGCTGTCTCTCACAGTGCTGGGGTCACAGGTCACGTGCGAAGGCCACCACCGCCACGGCCGCTCAGCTAGATATTAGCCTCATCGCCATCATCACGAGGCGGTGCTCTGCAAATCTCACACCTCGTCTCTCTCCGGTAACGATGTGTGCTTGCTATCTCTCTCTATCGCTGTGTGGGGTGTTCATCATCTTATTTAAGCTTGTATCTAACCACCACCACCATCATCATCCAACCTATTTCATCATTCAACCATCCTCATCAATTATATCATCTATTCATCCAAACATTGTATTTCATTATCTAACAATTATCATCAATAATATGACCATTATCGACTTAACCATCATCATCCAATATATTTAATAATTTGACATTATCACCGCCACCATCTACTTATCATCCAATACATGTCGGCATCACCATACAGTCATAATATAACCTCAATCATCGCCGCCACGCCACCATCACCACCACCATCACCACGAGGCGATGTTCCCTCCTCTCATCTCCGTGCATCGCGCGAATCTCTGACTCTGAGCCCGCGTCGCGCTCCGGTAACGATGTGTGTTTTCTCTCCCCCCCCATGATCCATCTCTCTCTCTTCTCTCGCTCTCCCTCGCACTCTTGCTGTGCGGGGTATTCATCAGTGTCCTCTCTCGCTCGTCCTAACGTCTCCCCCGCGCTCTAAACCGGGACGAATTATTTACAGCGACTAATCCGCGGCGAAACGCGGCAGCGGCAGCGGCCCGCGCTGTCATCCGAGCGCCACCATCACGGTCCAACGATGGTGGCGGTGGTGATGGTGCTGCTGATGATGATGCTGCTGCTGATGATGATGATGGTGCTGGAACAATGATGGACAGACAGCCAAGAGCAGAAACAGGCGTCCGATGGGGGAGCGGCCGCCGCAGGCAGATGGAGCGGTGACAGCTGCGAGAGATGGCCTTTCATCCAGCAGTGGATTGATCATAGCTGATGATGATGTGGACGCCACTGGCTGATGAGCATCACGACCGTTGTTGCGGCTGACTCGTCCGTGCAGTCTCAGTCGGTGACGATGACTGCCGCGTGCCGGTTCCAATCGAAAGTGGCGTTCCGAGTGACGTGCCGGTGCACATTTTTTTTTTCAATCTGGACCGTGACGCCGGCACACGATGGGCAACTCTCGCGAACGGCGTCACAGGATCTTGAACGCGCCGGTCGTGTATTTATGGCTAACACGCAGACCGCAGTGATAGCCAGGGTGGCCGCGGGATTTCGAACCGGGAACCTCCGCAACAATGGGCGAACGCCCTGCCGCTGGGCCACCTCCCCATCACCGACTCGCTCCCTCACCGCCACCTCCCCATCACCGACTCGCTCCCTCACCGACTCACCCCGTCACCGCCACCTCCCCATCACCGACTCGCCCCATCACCGACTCGTCCCCATCACCGACTCGTCCCGTCACCGACTCGCCCCGTCACCGACTCGCCCCGTCACCCCCGCCATCGCCACGCACCTGCTTGAGGATCTCGGCCGCCGTGGTGTGGCTGCAGTCGAAGATGACGTGGAACTCCTTGGCGCGCTTCATCTCGCGCAGGAGCGGCCGCGCGTCCTTCGTGCCCGTGGGGAGCTGCCGGATCTTGAGGCGGATGCTGTAGCGCGACGGCGCCTTGATCAGCTCCTGTAGCCTGATGAGGCCTGGCAAGGGCGAACCAGCAGCCGCGGTAGCAGCAGGAGAACAACAACGATCGGTGTCGCGGTGAGCGCAATAAATTGCGATGATCGCGGTCCTAACGATCGGCATCATCGCTTGAACACTTAGGAAGCTTTCGCTACCGATATCGTCCATGACGCTGGGGTTTTTTGGGGGGTTAGATTGCGTAAATATATAAATGTGTCGTTAAACCCGCCACCACCCGACGCGGCGTTGAGGTTGCCGCTTTGCCGCCCTGGGGGACTCGCGAGCGTCGACTCGACTGCGGAGACGGAGATTTAAAAACAAACCCCCCTCCCACCCCCAGCGATAAAAGGGTCCCACCCTCAGGGTTCGCGGTGCGCGCTTCACGTGCCACGTGCTTCACGTGCCACGTGCTTCACGTGACACGTGAAGCACGTGGCACGGCGCGCGCTTCACGTGGCGCAGGGCATTGGTCACTTTCCAATCAATTGTGACATCTGGAACATCCCCCCACCGCCCCCCCCACCCCCCCGTGGCTTTATCCGCACGTGTGTGTTGATGGGGGGTTCTCGCTGTGGGAATCTGCACGCGCTTTATACTCTCCGCTAGTTTGATCACCCGTGTCTGTCCAGGGTCAGGGTTCTATCTCTTTATCATCAGAAGTATCATCATCGTCGTTGGCGGCGGCGGCATCGTCACCACGTAGTAGCGACGCACCGAATCGTCATAATCACCGGACAGTATTCATAATCGTGATCATGCATTCATCATCTTAAACGTAACCATCACTGCTGGGGCCGTCTCTAACAACAACTAAAAACGACAAACTCCCTTTGACCCCCCCCCGCATCGCCCCCCACTCCCTCGCCCCCCACTCCCTCGCCCCCAACCCCCTCGCCCCCCACTCCCTCGCCCCCCATTCCCTCGCCCCCAACCCCCTCGCCCCCCACACCCTCGCCCCCCACACCTTCGCCCCCCACACCCTCGCCCCCAATTCCCTCGCCCCCCACTCCCCCGCCCCCCACACCTGAGCGCCCAGGAGACACGTGCTTGTTATTTATTTATTACTCAGCAGCAGCAGCGGTGGCGGTGGCGAAAATGGGAATTTTATTTTTAATCCAAATCGGATTGGTGGGTAGGGTCGCCATCCCGGGGGCCCTGCTAGCCGCGAGCCCCCCACAGTTCCACCGCAGCGCGGATTACAGCCCCCCCTCCCACCCACAACTCTCCCCCACCCTCCCTATCCCACACCGCCACCACCACCACAACCCCAGTGGCGTCCTCTGCGTGCCGTTGTGTCCTCGGCAAGTCTCATCTCATGGAGTGAAATCCGAGACGGCATTCGGGGGAGCTTCAGGCGCCCCCCTCCACAACCCCGCCACCACCCCCCCCCCCCACCACCACCCCCCCACCACCCCCCCCCACCCCCCCCCCCCACCACCACCCCCGCCCCTCCCCCCATACAGCCCAGAAGGTTCACCCTACACTGGGACCCCCTTAGCATCATCATCAGCATCATCACCGTGGCTTATTTTAAACAATCATCAGTTTTGAATCAGTGTGTGTACTGCTGTAAACGTAGAAGACAAAGATCCCCCGTGTAGCCTTCACAGACTGTAGGGGCAAGTGCTGTTAGCGAGCACCTATGAAGGCCGGCACAACACACGAGGGAGTGGGTGGCCAGCACTACTCCCGGCCGCCTTTGTCTCCCCAGTGGCGATGTTTACCCACCGCACCAGGTACTCATTTGTGGCCGAGTCGACCTAGGCGCGGCCCCGGACCGGTTCAGATAATCGTCACCGGTGTTGGTATCCGTGATCGGGAAACGAACTCGGTTCGCCGCGATCGTAGTGCAGCGCGCTAACCACTACGCTACCGCTCCCCACGATCCCCGTACGAACGCTGCTTAGTACACAACTCAGCATTGCGCTTTTGCTGCTGCTGCTGCTGCTGAAGGACGTGGACACGAAACAAGGGCTCGGACATCGCGTGGATTGGACAACACACACGCGCACGCTGGCGACGTCACAATCACTGAAGTCGTCCTCCTGCAGTGGAAAATCGCGAGCGTCCAATTTCTCACGCCGTCTCCCGTGTCCCCCCCCCCCCCCGGTATCTACCCCCCCACTTCCCCTCCCTCTCGTACCTGCTGCTGTAGTTACACACGAATCCATCTCCTACCGGGGGGGGGGGGGGAGGTAGGGTGGGGATATCCCCGTGCGCCACTCCGTCAGTCCAATACCCCTCCCCAGTGGTGTCTCCTTCCGGCTCCCCCCCCGCAACACCTCCCCTTGCCCCCCACGCCCCACCTCCCCCCCCCCGCAACATCTCCCCTTGCCCCCCACGCCCCACCTCCCCCCCTCGCGCGTACCGGTGCTGTCCTGGTAGACGACGGTGACGAGGCGCCAGTGGAAGTGCTGCACCAGCTCGAGAATGGCGCGCGACAGGGACGCGTACTCGGGGTGGAGGTTGGCGTAGAAGGCGTCGCGCGAGCGCGCCACGTGCTGCTTCCACGCGCTCTGCACGTGCGGCACCTCGAGGGCGCTGCAGATCGACTGCACCGAGTTGGCCGACGAGACGTGCGGCGGGCCGAAGATGGAGGCGACGCCGAGGGACAGCTGGTCGCAGGCTGTGGGGGGCGGGGAGACACGGGGGGAGACACGGGGGGGGGGGAGACACGGGGGGTAACACGGGGGAGACACGGGGGAGTGACACGGGGGAGACACGGGGGGGGGAGACACGGGGGGAGACACGGGGGAGACACGGGGGAGACACGGGGGGAGATACGGGGGAGACACGGGGGAGTGACACGGGGGAAAACACGGTGGGGGAGACGGGGGAGACACGGGGGGAGACACGGGGGAGACACGGGGGAGACACGGGGGAGTGACACGGGAGAAAACACGGTGGGGGAGACGGGGGAGACACGGGGGAAGACACGGGGGAGACACGGGGGAGTGACATGGGTGGAAACACGGGGGAGACACGGGGGAGTGACACGGGGGAAAACACGATGGGGGACACGGGAGGAAACACGGGGGGAGACACGGGGGAAACACGGAGTGAGACACGAGGGAGATACGGGTAAAAGACATGGGGGGGAGACACGGGGCAGACACGGGGGGAGACACGGGGGAGACACGGGGGGAGATACGAGGAGATACGGGTAAAAGACACGGGGGGAGACACGGGGAGAGACACGGGGGAGACACGGGGGGAGACACGGGGGGAGACACGGTAGAACGAGAGAGGAGGAGGATTTCTCCACGACTCTGCCTGTTGCCTGTTGATGCCGGTTGTAATTATCGGTGCAGCGTCACACTCGAATAGTAAATGTTGTCGGTTTACTCTCCGACACACCACCGGTGTTGCTGTACTCGTAACCAATTGGCACTTTCTGTTTACGTGTCAAACCTTACTAATTGGCTGTGTCGGGTGGTGGCGGGTTTAACGACACATTAATATTTACGCGATCTCTCGTGGCGGTGAATTGGTGGGTGGGGGGCGGTGTGGGGGGGGGGATGAGAGGGTGGGGGGGGGACGAGTGGGTTAGGGAACACGCGTAACTCGGAGTCATCGTGAGTGAGGTGGGAGCAGGCACGTGTGTATCCCCCCCCCCCCACTCGCATGTGTGCTGTTTACTCCCAGCTGCTCCGGTTTCCTCACACACACACGCACACACACGTGTGAGCACACTCATTGATGTGGGACATCACATCGTAATATATAGAGGACCGCACAGCGTAGGCAATTGGCTGCTGCTGCCTTCTCGCTCGACTGTGGTTTCCTCCTCACTGGCGCCTCTGAGTCGTCCTCTGCCTCTGAGTCGTCCTCTGCCTCTGAGTCGTCCTCTCTCTGCGCGAGCGAGCATCGGACGCCGTGCATCGGCGGTGTCGCGCTACGAGTTGACGTCGTTGTTGTAAAAAACATCACAGGGGGGTGGGGGCAGGGGGCGGACGAACGGACGAGGGAGGAGGGGGGAGTATTTGATCCGTCCAGCCAAGGTCGAAAGGTCATCCAGACACCGCAGCAATCTGCCAGTAGGTGGCGATGTTGCTGGGTGGCCCAGATTGGGGCACCCCCAGTGGCAGCTGTCCCTGTGCATCAGTCTGCTGGTCGGGGGCATTGTTGCTGGGTGGTCTAGCCTAGGGCACCCCCAGTGGCAGCTGTCCCTGTGCATCAGTCTGCTGGCCTAGAATGGAGGAGGATGTGGAGGAGAAGTGGAGCCACGAGTAGCGAGCAGTGGGAAGTTGGAGGGGAGAGGGAGAGGAGGGAGATGTGGAGAGTGGGAGGGAGGGAGTGATTCGGTCAGATGCGAGGGGGGGGGGGAGAGGAACGGAGCGAGAGTGCTCAGCCAGGAGGAGGAGGCTGCCTCGTGGATTGTCGGGCTGATTAGAGAGCGCCGCGAAAGGAAGTCCACTGTGGAGATGGAGCGACACGGATCGCCCCGTGTGCTGGACGCTCGTGCGGTGGTGATGGCTGGCGAGGCTGCTGCTCCTGCCGCTGTTGCCCACGCGGTCAAGTCGAGTGATTTGTGTGAACGTCCGAGGCTCTGAAGCCCACGGCTCTCGGCTCAATGGGGAAACAACGCGTGAGGAATCCTGATAGCCCCCCCCCCGCCCGCCGCCTCCCTTCCTCCACCGCCCTCCCAACCATTGCCCCCCCCCCTCACCACAAGCCCCCACCCTCCCGTCTCGGGCGAAATTGCGATGGAGATTATTTTAGAACTCGCGGTTTTAATCTCGATTATTGGAGCCTGTGTTTGGGGTCCAAGCTTAACCACCGTCCCCTCCCCCGCCACCCCCCCTCCCCCTTCAAACCCCCCCGCCCCAACCCCCCATCCACCCTCCCCCGCCCCTCCTCATCAACGCTCCCAGCATCTGCTGCCATCATCATCCGCAGCACCGCCCGACGCGCGCCTCCACAGCACTTCCCCCCACTCCCCATCTCCTCCACGTGATCCCCCATCTCCTCCACGTGATCCCCCCATCTCCTCCACGTGATCCCCCATCTCCTCCACGTGATCCCCCATCTCCTCCACGTGATCCCCCATCTCCACGTGATCCCCCATCTCCTCCACATGATCCTCCATCTCTTCCACATGATCCCCCATCTCCTCCACATGATCCCCCATCTCCTCCACATGATCCCCCATCTCCTCCACATGATCCCCCATCTCCTGCACGTGATCCCCCATCTCCTCCACGTGATCCCCCATCTCCTCCACGTGATCCCCCATCTCCTCCACGTGATCCCCCATCTCCTCCACATGATCCCCCATCTCCTCCATAAGATCCCCCATCTCCTCCACATGATCCCCCATCTACTCCATAAGATCCCACATGTCCCGCGTCCCCCTGTTCCCCCATCTCCCTTTCTCCCCCCCCTACTCCCGCTTTTCCCTCCTGCTGCTCCCTATCTCCGTCTCTGATCCTGCTCCCCCTCCTCCAGAATCCCCTCTCCCCTTGCTCCTCATCTCCTCCCCCTCCCCTCCCCCTGACATGCTCCCCAATCCCCTCCCCCCTGCTCGCCCTCACTTCTCGCCCTATCCCGCCACCCCATCTCTCCCACTCCTCCTGCTCCGCACTTCTCTTCATCCCTCTGCTCCCCCCTGCTCCCCCCTGCCCCGCCCCCCACCCCGCGCACCCTTGCGTGACGCCTCGAAGCTGTCGAAGACGTTGATGCGCTGGATGTCGTAGGTGAGCGTCGTGTTGGGCAGCAGGGAGCGGTTGCGGTTGATGGAGTTGACGGCGAACTTGAAGGCGAGCTCCTCGGCACCCGACGGGCCCCCCTCCACCACCTCGAATATCCCTCCTGGAGGGGGGGGGGGCGGCAGGGTGGGGCACGAACACAAAGGTCACCCGTATAGCCTTTAACAGACCGTTGGGGCAAGTGCTGTTAGCGAGCAACTATGAAGGCCGGCACGGCGCACGAGGGGGTGGGTGGTCAGCACCACGCCCGACCGCCTTTGTCTCCCCAGCGGCGATGTTTACATCAACCGCACCAGGTGCTCATTTGAGGCTGAGTCGACCTAGCGGAGGCCCAGGACAGGTTCAGATAATCGTCACCGGTGTTGGCCGTGAGCGGGAATCGGGTCACGCACGCAAAGACACACACGCACGCAAAGACCCATAAATAGTCTCACAGAGACCTATAGCCTCACAGAGACCTGTAGACTCGCGGAGATCGATACACTCTGATGGAGATCGATTATACTCACACCGGGGACCCATCGACTCGCACGTGGAGGCGACGGCCGCCTCTCTCCATGAAATGCGTAGAGCCCCTTGCATTGCAGTGTACATCGGCAGGATTCTCTATCGAATGTAAATGCATTGCCCAACTTAATCGGTGTCGGCACGTGGAAGACGGGGGGGAAATGAGGGAGGGGGCTGGGTGGGGGGGCTCCCCAGCCCCTCGTGCAGGGTGGGGGGCTGGGCTGGTTGAGAGTTATTGGTGGCGCTAATGAATGATCGCGCTAATGAATGATCGCGATCGTAGCGCGGCCTGCACCGCGCACGGGAGACGGACGAGCGGACAGGCGAGTGGGCAGAGGAGCAACGCTGGGTCTGACACCACTGGCAAACGCACTCACTGGGGCCAGCAGACTGACACTCAAGCGCACGGACCGAGTGACATTCGCACTGACACACACACAGACACAACAACAACAACCGCCATTCGCCACTAAGTGGCGGTGACGTCACCACGACGCTTGTGCCAGGCTATGTGCACCCTGAGGCCACGTGGAGTGTCGAACGCCCGCTGGCAGGAGGTCACGGGGCAGACCCAGGTGCCACGGGTCGACTGACTGAGATGACTGGCTGATGCACCACCTGTGCCCCCTACTGTGCCAACCTGCTGTGCTTTAGCCACCCGGCGCTCCGCTCGTTGGTGTGAGCGTCGCTCCTCCGCCCTCCGTTGTTGTTGGAGGGCGACTACCTCCAACTGCCCAGTAGCGTCCTTCACGAGCCTCCTCCACAGAGGCCGATCTTGACACCGCTGGTACCAGTCATCGGCAAGTCCAATCAGCTCCACGTCCTCCTGTACCACATCACTCCATCTCTTCTCTAGCCCGTGCCGCGCCCGCCTAGCCCCCTCAATCCGGCCGAACAAAAGCTGTTTCGGCATGCGGTGGCAGGGCATGCGGGCTACATGACACAGCCATCGCAGCCTTCCCCGCCGGAGGAGCTCACCGATGGGACCTTGCCCAGATCTTTCAAGGATTTGTGAGCTCCTCACACAATCCAGTCTGGTTAAACCCAGGATGGATCGTAGGCAGGCCAGCCTAAATGTTTCTAACCGGCGAAGATGCTCCATTAGGGGGGTCCACGTTTCGCAAGCGTAGAGAAGGGAGGGAATGACCATGGCCGAGAAGACCTGAAGCTTCATGCGGAGCGGCAGACCAGGTAGCTTTCACACAGCGTTACGCAACCGATGAAAATATATTGCCGCTCGACTGATTCGGAGTGAGACCTCTGCTGTTAAACTGGAGCCAGTCATAAGCACACTGCCCAGGTATGGGAAACTCTCCACTCTCTCCACAACTGCCCCATCACCGATTGGGAGTTGTGGGGGTGGAGCGTCCGATGGTACAAAATACCCAGGCAGGTGCTTAGTTTTGGTGGGGCTGATGGTAAGGCCCCACCTCTTAGTGGCACGCTCCAGTCTCAGCAGCAGCATCTCCAACTCCTCCTCTGAATGAGCAGCTATTACCAAATCATCGGCATACATAACGTGGTTGAGCAATAGGGAGCCATCCCTTGACCGCACCTGGGCATCGATCAGCCTCCCATTATATCTGTACCAAATGGAGATTACCCCGGTACAGCAATTGAAGGCTTCACGAACTACGTGGTCAAAATAGATGTTAAATAATGTGAGAGCCAGAGGACATCCCTGTCGCACCCCAAGGTGTACAGGGAATGGCTCTGACTCTCGGCCACGTAGTTTTACCCGGGCCCGCTCACCATCATGAAGGTCCTTAATGATCATGAGCAGAGGGTCAGGGACTCCAAAAGCACGAAGAGCAATCCAGAGCCCAGGCCTACTGATGGTATCATAGGCCTTGAACAGGTCAATAAAGCAGAGATGTAGGTCTTGTTGGAATTCTCTACACCTCTGCTGTAGCAGCGGACAGAAAATATGGCATCTGTGCAGGACCACCCTTTCCTGAAACCGCATTGGGGCTCCGCAAGCCTCTCCTCAGCGTGCCTGGCAAGGCAATGTTGAATCATCCTTGCCAGGACCTTTCCCGGCACATTGAGGAGTGAGATGCCCCTGTAGTTGTTACAGTCTGTGCGGTCCCCCTTCTTAAAGAGGGGGACCACCAGGGCATCCTTCCAATCCTGCGGAACCCGTCCAGTGGTCCAAATTGTTGTTATGATGTCACATAGGGCAGTCTGTGCACAAACGCCACCCTCCCTCAGCATGTCGCTTGGGAGATCGTCTCTACCCGGTGCCTTTCCTGGTCTCAGACTCCGGATCGCCTTCAGTACTTCCTTAACAGATGGCACCTCAGCCAACCACTCACAAGGGGTGACTTCTTCCAATATTTGAGGCACTGCAGCCTCAGCAGGGTCATCCCCACTTTGTGCCACGATGTTTTCCTGGCTGAGGGATTTCCCCTCCCCCAGTACCTCACAGAAATGCTCAGCAAATCTGCAAACCTGTTCCTGGGGGTTAGAGATTGGATCACCGTTTTTCCCCTAATGATGGTAATAGGTCTGGCGCTGCAGGTTACTTTTTTGATGGAGTTAAATAGAGATTTGTGATCGCGGGCCACTGAGGCAGACTCCATCTCCTCAGCAACCCGCGACCACCACCCATCCTTGCAGCGCCTCACGGCTCTACGAACCTCCGAGCGAAGGCTGCGGTAAGCCTCCACATTCTCTGACGTGGGATTCTGTAGCCGATGACAGTGGGCCTGTCGCTTTTTCTCAACCATCCTGAACACCTCCTCTGTCAGCCAGGGCCTCTGGGGAGGTCTGGACCGCGTACCCAAAGCAGCCATTGCAGCTGCATGAGTAACAGTCCTAAACCTCGCCCATTTACCCTCGACATCAGGAGGAGTCGGGGACGATGTCAACCCCAGCCGCAAGCGATGATGAAATTCTCGCTTGCAACTTTCATCAGATAACTGAGACCAGGCCACTTTAGGTTGGAATGGGGTCCTGGGTATACACCCACCACCGGAGTGGAAGAATGGCAGGCGTATCTTACAGATGACTAGTCGATGGTCAGAGGGCAGATCAGTTCCACGGTAGGTCCTGGTGTCAAGGACATGGGCTCGCATCCGCTCACATACTCACACTCACACACACACAGACACTCATACTGACACAAAGACACTCACACTGACACACACACTGACAAACACACTGACACAACAAAGATAAAGATCTCCCGTAGAGCCTTAGACTGTAGGGGCAAGTGCTGTTAGCGAGCACCTATGAAGGCCGGAACGGTACACGAGGGGGTGGGTGGCCAACACCACGCCCGACCGCCTTTGTCTCCCCAGTGGCAATGTTTTTTTTTATCCACCGCACCAGGAACACTGACACACACACACTGACAGACACTCACACTGACACACACACACTCACACTGACACACACACTCACACTGACACACACACATACACTGACATTGACACACACTGACACACTCACACTGACACTAATTGGCCTCGCGATGTCGCCACGCAGCAGAGAACCGGGCCCCCTCCCCGTGCACCCCCCCTCCTCCCCCTCCCCCCTCATCGCGACCCCCCCCCCCCCCCCCACACACACACACCTGTCCCCCCCCCCCTCTCCTCCACCACCCCCTCCAACCCCCACCCGTAGGGACAATGACCGCTGGGACCCACACGGCCGCTGAGCGACGCTAATGAGAGACCCCCCCCGCCCCCCCCCCCGGGGAAGCAGGCGGGGGAGGGACATGGGGGAGGGAGTTGAGTGGGAGTCGGGGCTGTGGTGCATCACGCGCCGTGGGGTTGCACGCAGCGACATCAAGGACGCGACAGCGCAAGGCGGCACGCAGCGAGTGCACGCGAACTCTACACCACAGCGCACACGCAAATACACACGCGTACACAACGCAATACACGGAAGTGCGTAATATATCTCAAACACACACACACAACTGTGCACGCGCGCGCGCATGCACGCACGCCACAACAACTCGTCACTAAGTGGCGGCAGACGTCACCACGGCGCTTGTGCCAGGCCTAGGTGCACTTTGAGGCCACGTGAAGCATCGAAGGCTCGCTGCTGACGGGAGGTCGCGAGACAGACCCAGGTGACGTGGGCTGAGTGACCGAGACGACTGGCAGATCCACCGACTGTGCCCCACGCACCGCGTCGCTCCTCCACCCTCCGCTGTTGTTGGAGGGCGACTGCCCCCAACTGCCCATTGGCGGTCCTTCACGAGCCTCCTCAATCGAAGCCGATCTTGACACCACTAAGGTGCACGTACTTCTGTACCACATCAGCCCATCTCTTCTCCGGCCCGTGCCCGTTTAGCCCCCTCTATCCGGCCAAACAGAAGCTGGTTGGGCATGCGGTGGCTGGGCATGCGGGTGACATGACCCCCCAGCCAACGCAGCCTCCTCGCCTGCTGGAGGAGCTCACTGACGGGACTGTGTCCAGATCTTTGACGGATACATTGTAGGTAGGTCAACCTGATCATTTATAACCGGCGCAAATGTTCATCCAGAAGGGTCCACGTCTACACCCGCATAGAGAAGGGAGGGAGGGTATAACTGCGTCTGAGAAGACCCGGAGCTTCGTATGGAGCGAAAGACCAGGTAGCTT